TCTCTCCTCTGCGGGCTCTGATTGGTTGCAGCGTTTTCCTGGTCGACCTCGGTTCGGTGACTGACGCCGTTGACCCACTTCATCAGCGTGAACCTGAAGGAAGATAGCCGTGCTCCAGTTTTCCTTCAGCGCTGAATGTGGGACAGCAGGCGAGACTAATTCATCTCTGTCACTGAGTTCCTCCGCTGATTTTATTATGTGTAATGAAGAGGAGAACATTGGTTAAGTTACTTTAGCTCAAAGTAGCATGAGAAATCTCCCATGAGCCACCTGTGCAGACTAATGGGCCTAAGATGTCCACTGCAGCCGTCTGCTAACCTTTTAGTCTGAATGTGAACTAGGACAGAACTGACAGAGTGAAATATTACATTAAAGACATTGGGATTTAAAAACCAGAACATTTAGTGTTTTACCCAGAATCCCCCCTGATGTGTGACATAAGCTTGTTTGGATCTCAAACGTACAGGCTGTAATTTCTGCCACTAGGGGGTCTCTCACATCAAAACTATGACAAAATATGAAGTGTGATGAGGTGGTGAAGCAGCGTGGGATCATGGGAGTTGTTGTCTTCACCACCATTGGCGTCATTGCAGTCAGCTTCTCCCGGTTAGGATTCCTTCAGTGTTCATGGTTCAGGAGGTTTCTACCGGGAGCCCAATGATCCACAGAGGTCTCCTCCTCTCCAACACAAACAGACCCGCTGATTAAAACCACTAAACACACTGAATAAAGCAGTTCCACCTTAAACACACTGAATAAAGCAGTTCCACCTTAACAATCACTGCTTCTCCCACGCTGTTGGACAGACAGAGGACGTCCCGGAGGGGCTGCGAGCCGAGCTGCTGCTAACGTTAGCTCAGCTTGTTTCTCTGATAACTTAAGATCCAGACGTCCGATGACTAAAATCCTTCATCCGGTTCAAATCTAGAGTTAAAAAGCACCAAGATCTAAACAGTGGATGGTAACAATGTGGCTTCAGACTGGATCAACAGTCAATGTATGACAGCTTCTGGCAGACAACCACAACGCTGACGCAGGCACAAAGGGGATATGACGCCATCGACTACCTGAATAAATAAATAACATATACGGATACTTTTAACAAATAAAAACTGTGACATACAGACTTCCTGATCTCGTAAACTATCTCAACATGGATTGGTACAAAAGTCTACGCAGGGATTCAGACGAGGAAACCTCTTCATACTTTTCATCTCCAAACTGTACCGTTGACTTTCTGTCGATTCGTGGTTTCCCTTTAGTGCTGCCAGTGCCTTCATTGTGGTGAAAAGAAAACAGATTTTTGTCGATGGAAGCAGCTCAAAGCCAGAACAAGGACAGAACAGAAGGAGCTGAATGCACACAGCGTCACTCCCTTCTCGTTAGAAACCATGAAGGACAGTTTACTGTACTGACCCTGCAATGGTCGATTAAAGCTCTTTATCTGTTTTCTATCACACAGAAGCAGTGTGGCGATATCACTGTATTTATTTAGCTTCTGCAGTATTTGTGTTTTACTCCGGCTCACTCGTTTCAGCCTCGCTAACAGAAACAACCTCTGCATGTAAATGATGCTGCGGTCAGTCTCTGCCAGCGCTGACAGAAAGGTCAAAGAAGGCCACTCGTTTTTCATGTCAGACCGAGTGGAATGGGGTGAAGACGGCGAGGAGGCGAGGGCTAAAGTCAGCTCAGGGCTGTCAGGTCGAAGGTTCAAATCCTCAAAGCCAGCAGTGTCCAGCGAGCTCTTTCCCACCCTCCCAGGATAAATAAAGACTGGAAAAGTGCTGCCTCCGTGCAAGTTGGTGGGCTGTGGGAGGCGATCTGGCTCTCGGCCTGGCAGCAGATACCCTGCTGGAGTAACAGATGGCCCAGTGCATCATGGGAGTTACAGTATGTCCACAAATATCTGTTTTAGTCTTAAATAGCACAAGAAGCAGCCATAAAGGTGAAGAAGGCAGGTTGAGTGCGTCACGTCACACACTGGTTTAACCACCAACACAATCTGTTAAAGTTTACCTAAACAGCATTATCTTTATTTCTTTAGACACTGGGTTTTCCTAAGGTTTTAAATAACATATTTTATAGATATATAACAATAACAGCAGAGAACAGCTGATACACTGAACCCAAACAGTGAACACAATAACTGCAGGAAGGTTGTGTGAAACCGGAGATTTGGAGGAATTTTCAGCAGATTATTTCCTGTGAATGTTGATCAGAGAGTTATCCTGATATTTTTAGGAACTTTTTGTGCTTTTTTAAGCTTTGGCATCACGTAGTGGGGGGGGGGGGAAACCAGGGTTCATTCCAAATGAGTAAAAGCAGTCCAAATAAAATTAATGAGTGTAACACTGCAGTTGGCCAATGAAATACCCACTATGTAACTGCTAATACAGAGGATTCGACCTGTGGTAGTTAAACAAGATGATGTTTCCTTTAACCCTGACTGAGCTGTTTCACCATAAATACATCACCTTCTGTGCGTTGGTGCCCTTTTTATATTTTCTGCCCCCGCCCCTCAAACAGCCCGAGTCTGCCACTGGTTGCAAGATTTACCTGACGTATCTACGCCACCCTTATTTTATCGCTCTGCGCTGTGTTTGTAGATGTTCCTCACCGTGTACCTCAGTAACAACGACCAGCACTTCAGCGAGGTTCCCATCACGCCGGAGACGCTGTGCCGAGATGTGGTGGAGCTCTGCAAGGAGCCCGGCGAGGCTGACTGCTACCTTGCAGAGATGTGGAGAGGCTCAGGTGAGTTTCATCCTATCTGAAGAGTCTCACAGGCTTTTTTCTCTTCATTACTGAAATTAAACTCTGTCCTTTTCTGCAACCGATCAGAACGCGTCGTTGGAGAAGGGGAGCGGATGTTGGAGGTGTTGCAGCGATGGGGGCAGCAGAGGGGGGAGGTTCGTTACCTCCTGCACCACCAGAGAGCTCCGGGACGAGAGTCAGGTAAGAAACACCTGCCCACCACCCCAGAGGCTCAAACACTTGCGGCGGGATATCATGCCAGGACGGGGTCTCCAACGTGGTGCACCTGGTAGCCCGCGAGTACTCAATGTGCAACAACACCGGCAAGACATAGCGAGCAGCTAACATTAAGGACTAGTCCAACAGCAAGAAGACCAGCTCGCGGTCTGTCTGCAACTTCTTTATCCAACCACTAAAAGCCAGTCCCACATTCACTGAAAACGTCCTCCCAGCGGTCTAAAGCCTCTGTGCTACCAGTATAAACCCCAACACTCCCCCGGTGTAATTTGGGAAGGGGATTAATGTCATTGGTGTTGCAGTCATTGTGTCATCTAAGAATTTGGCAGATTGCACTTTTAATTTAGTAGTTTCAGATTAGCATCAATGCTAACTGTGTTTTGTTGTCCAGGTGGATCCAGAGCTGCAGATCAGATGATGAAGAGGAACCAGGTGAAAGCTTCTGTGGAGAGATGTCTGGAGAACGGGGTGAGTTTAAGAGTCAGATGTCTCTGTCCGTGCACTCCAGAGGATTTACGAATCCTACTATAGTGAAGTCCTTTTTTTTCCACAGCAGCCATTCTGACATGAAATAGTCGGATGAACAAAGATGTGTTCCCTTTAGTCTTTCTAGTTAGGTCTATGAAGCACAACCTGTGCTGACATTTGAATGTACAGAAAGTTGGTTGAAAACAGTGTGAAGGGTGCACTGTAGGCATCTCTGAAAGTTTGTTCATTTGAAGGTGAACTCTGACTCTGTGTGTGTGTTTGTGTTGCAGCTCTCAGCTCCTCGTCTGGACATGACGCTGAGCGACCTGCAGGATCTGGCAACCCGACAGCAGCAGCAGATCAACGCCCAGCAGCAGCTGCTGGCCTCCAAGGTGCAACACAGGACTGTTAATGCTACTGCTGATAGTACAATCCTACAAATACACAAAACCCATCAAAATCATCTACTGCTGATTTCTGCAAACTCACCTTACTCACTGAGTTCACTTATGGGATCACCATCATTTTCAGCCTTTAATCTGGTTTATTACAGCAGTATGAGCCCAAAATAAACAGATGTTTCTTGGATTTAATGTCAATAAATGGATCATAATTATGCTGAAATATCTACATAATATTTCTGAATTCAGACTTTGTCGGTCTGTCTGTGAGACAATGAGCAAACCACTTTTAAAATGCTTTGTTTCTGAATGAAGTTTGGTTGATCAGAGCTATGCTAACTTCAAAATTGACAGTTGAAATCAAGTAACAGACAAATATTTTCCAATTTCCTTCCTTCTCCAACAATCTCCTTTTCTGTCCGCTCTATGTATAAATATTATATAAATATAGTAGTAGTATCACAGAGCTCTGGGTGCACACAGGGTGAAGAGGAATCTAGTTTTTAAAAGTTTTCCAAATTAGCTCCTCTTGTCACCAGATCAGAGCAGAATCTGGTGTGACTACGTTTGTTCCTCCAGAAGCTCCGGCTCTCTTCTGCAGAGCTCCCCGAGCTCCAGCAGCTTTCTGTGGGCCAACATGACACTGCAAAACCACATACGGGCAGATTTTGTTGGTCAAAGCTGAATATTTTCAACTTGTGGGAATATACAAATTTTGCATGGTCGCCCAAATTGCCCGGCACCAATTTGCGTCTCTTCTCGTCTTTGCATTGACTTTGTAAGCTACTACAAATCATTTTAGTCACGTTTGGTGGGAACACACCATTATGTTTCTAGTGCTGCAACATGGTTGGTAGTTAACCTGGAGCCAAAACTACCTGCTTACTGAGAGTATGTGTCTCATTCTTCCAGTCATACCCAATTCAAACACTGTTTGTGGACCCCAGAATGCAGATAAACACATTTTTAAACGCCCCTGCTTACTGACCCCCCGTTGTCTCTGTTGTCTGCGGGAACACAATTAGTGTCTGAAACCTTTCTGACTGAGTGTTTTTTGTGTGTCGCAGGAGCAGCGGCTGCGTTACCTGAAGCTGCAGGATCAGCGGCAGCAACAGCAACAGGAGGTGTCCGAACAGGAGCGACTGCGGCAGCTCAGAGACAACGCACACAACCAGGAGGCCAAACTGCGACGGGTCCGGGCCCTCAGGGGCCAGGTGGAGCAGAAACGCCTCAGCAACAGCAAACTAGGTCAGTGTGACAGAGGTCTGGGTGGCTTCATAGTCTCAGTTATAGTGGTTTAAAGGGCCAGTGTGTAGGATGTAGTGACATCGAGCAGTGCAGTTGCCTCACTTCGACCAAATCATTCAAAAATATGGTATTTCCCTCCACTGTTATGGTGATGACACGCAGCTTTATTTTAATAAACCAAAGCAAACAATTCAATCAGTCTCACAAACCGCCTCGAGGACAGTAAGTGTTTGATCGCACAAAAATTTCTTCAGTTGAATAAAAGTCTGAAATAGTTTTATTTGGCCCTCCTGAAGCCATCAAGGTGATTAACAACACTCTCGGCAACCTGTCCACCCCCGTTAAACGCCATGTCAAAAGTACAACTGACCAGAGTGATAGACTGACCACCGTTCACAACAGCAGGAGAACAGCTGCCAGTAGTCAGAGCTGACAAAGCTAACAGAGCACACACAGAGTCTTCTGGAGCTGTTACAGTCACTAGAAGCACATTCATGTTGCTGTGTGTGTTGTAACGTAAGCTAAGCTAGCAGCTCAGAGAGGCTAACTCTCCGTGTCTGTAGCAGAGTGTCAGGCTAACAGCTACGTAGCAGGACACAGGCTGCAGAGTAGACACGGTGGTTTTATAGCAGCAGGGGTCGGTTGGTGATGAAAGCTGCCAACAGATCAGCCAATAGCAAAATTGAATCACAATAACAGGTTTCAACCAGTAGAGGACGGTCGTTGTGCTTCTTTTTTAAAGCAAAATATGTAAACTTTAAATAGTTTGCACTAGTAAATACCCAGATACCAGATATAAAAACCCAGCTTTCAAACAATGTGCACTGACTCGACTGTGACTCAGAACACTTTACTGCTGTCAGTCACCTCCCGGGATTTCTGGGTAATGAATGCTGCTAAAAACAGAGTTTGTAATAAAACTGAGTCATCACAGGATGTATCCAGTGTACGTCCAGTCAGCAGTGATCATTCTGTCCTGTATGTTGACAGATGGATCAGATCAGATTAAATTAGATCAGATTTGACCCTGACGCGGGGTCGTCATTATGGAAATTACAGGATTTACATTAAGATGATTGTCCTTTCAAATGTAATTGGGATTATTTCATCCTTTCAGATTCACATCTGCTCAGTCACATGATCCGAAGTTCAGCGAGTTTGTTTGTAATATTGTTTTCTTATATTTTGATCAGATAGTTCCTGGTTTAAATCACATTCCTCTCATTTAAATGACGTGAGGTTTTGTTCAATGTTTTGGTATAAATACTGAATCTCAGGTACCGTGTTGGTGCTAATAATGAGAGCATTATAAGCTCATTATTAATGAGTGTGGCTGTGTTTGTTGACAGTGGAGGAGATCGAGCAGATGACCGGGCTGTTCCAGCAGAAGCAGAGGGAGCTGGTGGTCGCTGTGTCGAGGGTGGAGGAGTTGAGCGACCAGCTGGAGGCGCTAAGGAGCAACAGGCTGGAGCCTCCTCTTCCTCCTCCCCCTCATCACCACAACACCTCCTCCACAGCTGAGCTGGAGCGCCTCTATAAAGAGCTGCAGGTGAGAACACAGAGGGATGAAGCATCGGTAGAAATAACACTGAGCAGAATAAAGGAGCTTCAAGGCTGCGGCTAAAGATTCACGATGACGTCTTCAAATGTCTTGTAAATATCTGGAAAACAACAAATAGTAACAATGAATAATAATCATAATATTATACTTCAATAGATGTTTATAATGTTCTATCCCACTCATCAACTCAATGCTTATGAATTTACTGATGAACGCTTACCTGTTATTATGCCAACAGGTCAGTATGCTAACGGTTAGCTGTCAGTAAGGAAACACATTTCAGAAATTAGGTCAACATAAAAATCAACATTAATGAGTGAACTAGCTTAACGGACAACAACAAGCTAACTAATTACTGTATTATTAGCGTCCTCCTCTCTTACCGGTTTCTCACTGACCTCCACAGCTGAGGAACAAGCTGAACCAGGACCAGAGCGGCCGTCTGCAGCAGCAGAGAGACAACCTCAACAAGAGGAACCTGGAGGTGGTGGCGATGGACCGACGGCTGGCCGAGCTCCGACAGCGGCTCTGGAAGAAGAAAGCCGCCCTGCAGCAGAAGGAGAACCTGCCGGTGAGTGTACACGACCGAAATCAATCAATCAATCGGAAAAAATATCTTCTGCAGACGTTATACTTATATGTCCCTCCAGGTGGCCTCCGATGGCGTGGCCCCTCAGCACGGCGTGGTCTCCAGAGTGGCAGCGGTGGGGCCGTACATCCAGTCATCCTCCTCCACGACGAGCCCTCAGGGGCCTCCAGTGCCGGCCCGCCAGGAGGCTCTGGTGAAGCCGGCGTACCCGGACGGCACGGCCACCCTGCCCATGCCCGACTCGTCCCTGAAGCCGCCTCCCAGACCAGTCAAACCAGCCTCAGGTACTGTACAGGAAGTACGAGTTCAAAAGAAACACACACTTCTACGACGGCGTTCTGGAAGTTTCTCTGCTCTTTACAGGTTTCAACACATCCAAAATCACCAAACTCTCGGACTGGAGCGGCTCGTTTCCTGAGTCCAGTGGAGGTTACAGCCACGCCTCCACGCTACCTCGCATGTCCAGTCTCAGCAGCCACAACTCAGGTCTGTCATTTCTACAACTCTGTCTGATCAGCATTCACCAGCAGGAAGTTCCCACTCATCCATTTACTCCTTCCTGTAGGTGGGAAGACCCTCACGGACATCCCGCCCCCTGTCCCCTCACGGACCAATCACATCACAGAGAACCTGCTCAGAGACAATCAGGTACAAACTTTGACCTATAGGAATAGTGTTTGAATATTAACAATCAATAAGGACCTGAACTGCAACACGACTGCCTGTATCCATGACAACGGTTAGACCGTCACTGGCTAGCTAGCTTAGTGTAATGTTAGCAATGTTAATAATATATATTCCTTTATAGTCTATTCTCCAGCCAATAGAGCCCCATTGTGAACCCAGAAATGCCGATGTTAACGTTTTCTGTTAGAAATGTACAGTTTGGGTCTCCAGAATTTAGATGTTAACTTGCATATGTTTGACAATTAGCATAATTAGCATTAATAATAACTTATATGGACAATATCTCAGCAGCTGCTTGGCCGATTTGGACAATATAGGAGTGTTTTTGGCCTCATTTCAAGTCCCAGTCAGTTTTGAAGTTTATATGATAAATACATAATCACATCAGCACAGACACAGGTCAGTGACAAAATGCTGTGAAGCAAAAAAATGCCAGCGGAACTGAAAAAGTTCATAATTTTAATAAACACAAAAGTTATTTAATTAATTTCCAGTGTGTATAATGCTCTTTAAGTCTGTGTAAACCTTTCACCTTTAGGGTAAAGGTCTGTCCAAGATGGCGGCGCCACCTCCAGTTCCCAGTAAGCCCAAACCGTTCTCCTCATCTGGACCGCCAACCTTCTCCAAGCACCCCTACAGCACCGGGACCTTCCCTGGTAAGGTGCGTCCAGTTGGGGGCAACCTCAGGGCCCCGGGTGTCCTCTCCAGCCACAGCCACACCCTCCCTCTGCCCAACAAGCAGGAGAGTCCGCCGGCTGCCGCCATACGGCCGTACACCCCCGACCTATCAGAGGCCCCCCCTCCAGTGCTGCAGAAGCCTCAGACTCTGGCGGCTTCGTCCATCTACTCCATGTACACCCAGCAGGCCACGCCCGGGAAGGGCTACCAAGCGGGTGGCCAGGGCACGCTTCCCCGGAGCCAGCCCAGAGGTGATACTGCTGTTACTGTTACTACGACCGTTAGCTCCGTTCTTATTCAGCTCACATATAACGTTAGCAGATCTTAAAGGTTGTCTACGGCATTCGCTGCCTCTAGATGTCGCACTAGAACAGCAACTTCTCAGACTCCGTGATAAAAGTGGAGAGAAAAAAAATAAAACTCACCAAAAGCATCTCTGTTAGTCTGACTCAAAGATTAATTATCATAATCATAATAGTAGTTATTGATTAATTGATTAATGGTTTTCACTGATGTCGGTGTCTCTGCCCCCTCGCAGTATATGGGAAACCAGTGCTCCCAGCTAGCGGCGGCCATCAGTCTGTCTCCTCAGACAGCGCCATCATTAATTCTTCTGTGTCTGACGGGATTGAGGCTGACAACAGTTGCCTGGGTAATGGCGAAGGTGTCGGAGGAGAGACGGCAGAACGCAGCACCCCGAGACCGCTCAGCCCCACCAAGCTCCTCCCCTTCCTGTCCAACCCTCACAGGAACCCCAGCGACGCCGACCTGGAGGCTCTGCGCCGCCGGCTGCACCACGCCCCCCGACCCCTGAAGAAACGCAGCTCCATCACAGAGCCCGAGGGCCCGGCCGGACCCAACATCCAGAAGCTGCTCTATCAGAAAACCACTCTGGCTGCCATGGAAACCATCCCCATGGAGACGGTCGGTCCAGCGGGGACGTATGCTCAGCTTTGCGAGGGCGGGACGGGTGGTGTGGATGTAATGTTCAAAGTCGACAACGACCCCGGAGCTGGTTTCAACCAGCCGCTCGCTGAGAGCCCAGAGGAAGGCTTGACCCCGCCCCCGCTGCCCCCCCGCTCACCCATCTCTGACCCCGCCTCCTTCCGCTCCCTGCCCCCCCCTCTGGAGGACAAGGACGAGGAGGAGGAGGAAGAGGTGTCCGTCTCTACCCCCCACAACTACTTTGCAGACGAGTTTCCTCCCTACCCGCCCCCACCTTACCCCACCTGCAGCGAAGGGGAGCTAGGAGAGGACGTCTTCAACCTGCAGCCGCCGGAGGTCACGGGTCAGGTCACAGTGCCGCCGGTGAGTGTAACTATAAATATATTCAACATGTAATCTCTGCCCCTATGCGGTTTGATGAGGTGGTGAAGCAGCGTGGGATCATGGGAGTTGTTGTCTTCACCACCATTGGCGTCATTGCAGTCAGCTTCTCCCGGTTAGGATTCCTTCAGTGTTCATGGTTCAGGAGGTTTCTACCGGGAGCCCAATGATCCACAGAGGTCTCCTCCTCTCCAACACAAACAGACCCGCTGATTAAAACCACTAAACACACTGAATAAAGCAGTTCCACCTTAACAATCACTGTTTCTCCCACGCTGTTGGACAGACAAAGGACGTCCCGGAGGGGCTGCGAGCCGAGCTGCTGCTAACGTTAGCTCAGCTTGTTTCTCTGATAACTAAGTTTGAACATTGTTGGAAACATTTGGGATAATGTTAGAACACAACTCAACTACATATATAACGTAGAGCTAGAGTTTATTCTCTCCTTCTGCTGTTTCTCTCAGGGTAAGAAGTCGATCCTGCGTAAGGCCGGCTCGGAGCGGATCGACCCCAGCCAGCGGGTCAAGTTCAACCCTCTGGCCCTGCTGCTGGACTCGTCTCTGGAGGGCGAGTACGACCTCGTTCAGAGGGTCATCTACGACGTGAGTCACACTGCTGTCTGATGGTAGAAAAGTGGTCCACACTTAAAAAACCTATTTTAAATTACATTTCAGTGACCTCATAGATTACATTTTGTAGTATTTTGATAGTATTATACATTTTTAAACAAATGTATTTAATGTTTTAAATATATTTCAGAGATTCCACCATGTACCATTAGAGGGAGTTTGCAGTGAAGAAGACTTGAAACTAGGGATTGACACCATAAGCTCACACTGAGGAAACTGAGCTAGTAAATTAAGTGAGAAGTCAGCTGATTTCTCCATAAGACTCAATACTGTCAGACATATTAGATACAGTAGGGCCTTTCATGGCCACCGTAGATTGTCCTTCACACTTGGAAAACCTGAGCTGTATTCATTTGGTTGCAATTGGCAACTTCACTGCTAGATACCACTAAATCGTACACACTGGTCCTTTAAATAAGCTGTTAATTCAATTACAGGTTGTGGTTTTTTGAGCTTGAAATTCATCTTAAAAACGATTGAATATTAGTTTGAAAATGCTCCAAATCAGCAGCTTGACTACAGGGTTATATGGAAAACATGTCCGCTCTGCAGGTGGACGACCCCAGCATGCCAAACGATGAGGGCATCACAGCGCTGCATAACGCCGTCTGCGCCGGCCACACCGAGATCGTCAAGTTTCTGGTTCAGTTCGGAGTCAACGCCAACGCTGCCGACAGCGATGGCTGGTGAGTTTGAACCCGAACACCAATTTGATTAAAGAGTTATTATTTCTCTTCTTATCCATTCATGTTTTTTTTTCGCCATTGTTCATGGATGTAGCTGGCATGTTTAATCCCTCCTACAAAGATCTGTATGGTCTGGTTGTTTCTCCAAATGTCTGGGACCAGGTTAGTCAGTGTGAACACTTCTTTTAAACCCTTCTTCCTGTCTTTGTCTCCAGGACTCCTCTCCACTGTGCGGCCTCCTGTAACAATGTCCAGGTCTGTAAGTTCCTGGTGGAGTCGGGGGCGGCGGTATTCGCCACCACGTACAGCGACATGCAGACAGCTGCTGACAAATGTGAGGAGATGGAGGACGGCTACGCCCAGTGCTCGCAGTTCCTCTACGGTGAGGAATCCATCCAGCCCTCAAACTGCCATGGTGGAAAAGGGGTATGAGTGGGTTTTGGAGTATGCCAAAAATACAGGGTTCTTTAAGGTGGTCCATGATGGGCCTTGAGTAAGTTTTACTTGAAGAAGTTCCAAGGTTTGTTTCACTGGTTTTTGGGAGGTTCCAGGGAACCTCTGAGTGAGTTGAAGAGTCACATTTTAATTTATTTAAGACTCAGTTTATTTGAGGTTCATGGGGCCCCTTGAGGGGGTTTCAGATTTCCTTAAGGAGTTCTCATGGAGTTTTAGAAGATATGGGGGATTTCCAAGGGCCACTGAGGAGGTTGCAGGGGTCCTAAGGAAGTATTAGTATCCACATGGAGGTTTAAGGGGTTCCTGAGGGAGTTCCAGGTTTACTTTACTAGGTTTCATCTGCCACCCTCATTGGATGAGGGCGATAAGCTGAATTCACTCAAGTTATTCCAATAGAAAAAAGGATGTGGTGATCTCGATTTCTTGACAAAGATTCATAGATTGAAATTGGGATTTTAGGAAACACTGAAAAGGTGTCCCAAGGAAGTAAAAGTTCCCTCAGACTGTTTCAGGGTCCTTAAGCGGGTTTCATGGGTCTAACACTGCTGAGACTCTGTGTCCCTGCAGGCGTCCAGGAGAAGATGGGCGTAATGAACCGCGGCGTGGTGTACGCCTTGTGGGACTACGAGCCTCAGAACGGCGACGAACTTGGCTTCAGCGAGGGCGACTGCATGACGGTGCTGAGACGGGAGGACGAAGTGGAGTCGGAGTGGTGGTGGGCGAGATGTGGTGACAGCGAGGGCTACATCCCCCGCAACCTGCTGGGGGTGAGCTGACTATACCAAGTTCATCTTCGAACTGCTGATAGAGATGTTTGAAAACTGAACCAAACTGAAACAATAAATGAAAATAACTAAACCACAAACTACCGCTGCGCGTGTGGAGTAACATGTAACAGAGCAAAGCTTTCTTTTAGATTTTCACTAATTTACTAGGATGTTTATTGTTTCCTTACCCAGTCGCATAGAGATAAATGTCCATGAAAGAACTGCTGGAATTGTAATGACTGAGATCTATTTAATCTTAAAATCTTAATAATATGAATTTTTTCCTTTTGTTAGAAACTTTATTCTCCATATTTGTTGAATTGTATATATTGGTAAAAGGTTGCACTACCAATTAAAGGTATATGTAAAATTTCTGCATTATAATGTATATAAACACTAGAGCTTTGTTATATATTTGATAATTTTATATTTTTTATTATATATTATTTATTATTCATATATATATTCTTGGTGGTTTTAACCGGATGAAGGATTTCATTAACAAGCTGAGCTAACATTGTCGGATAAACAATGATTTTTAAGGTGGAACTGCTTTATTTAGTGTTTGTACCAGTTTTTATTAGTGTTTTGGAGAGAAAATTATACAAAGTTTTCTTTCTAGGAAACGATTTGGAAACTTTGATGCATTCATTGAGCTCTACAGGGAATTGAACCGTCGACCCCGTCGGTGTCCCCCTGCTGTTTCTTGTAGTTCTCATTGAATCTCATCCGTTTTAATCAGGTTTAAAAGCGACTCCGAGGATCCTGTTACTCAACAGTCTTATATAAGAAGGTTCAGTATTTAAATCTTATCTCACTGGTGTTTTAATGAGAAACTCTGTTCCCTTTTATTTCCCAGCTGTATCTGAGGATCAAGCCGCGGCAGAGGAGCCTGGCTTAACCGACGGCCGACAAATCCTTCAAAAGACCAAAAGCGTTACGAGGAGGAGGAGCGGCGGGCAAATAAACCTCTGGACTCTAAATATCACAAAATGGGAGACAGATGTTTTCTGAGCTGCCATTGGACCTGTTTGGTTTTTCAACCTCAGCACAAAGAATGTCTCGATGAACTGCCGGAGAAACAGGAGTTCATCTGAATCCTGTGGTACAGTTTATCACTTTACCCAAATGTATCAGCAGATATTAGACTTTTTCCAACAGTGAGCCGCCCTGAGGCACCTGGGAGCCTCAAAAACTAAATGTTAAACTTATTTTGGGTTCATCTTGTAATTCTTTTTTAAGATTTTGTCTTATTTTAGTGAGTATTGACAGCTGATATAAAGACAGGAAATGTGGGGAGAGAAAGAGGCATAATCAAACTGTGGACGTGGGGCCACTATCGTTGATTTTCTTCATTATTAAAGTATTTAAAGGTTCAATATGTAAAGTTTTGTTAACAGTGCCACCAGTGGCTGTTCAGTGAACTGCAGTCAGAGTCCTGTTGCATCAATCAACAGCGACAAACACTGAACGCTGTAAAATAACTGACAATCATATTTAGAATAACGTAACTATCTGCAATGTTCCTATATTTTATTCGGACCGTTAGCTCCATGCTACTAACTAGCTCGCTGTTTACAAATCAGCCCATCAGCCAACACCACGAAGCAATCGACGCCAGTCCCACAATGCAACGCCAAGATACAGCCAGCCAGACAACCCCAGTTAGCTGAGCTACATCCAGCTAGCTGAGCCTCTGTAGACGTTAGCGGACTCGATTTATAAGCTAACGTTAGCTAGTGTCGCCCACTGTTGACACTGTAATTTGCAGAATATCCGACCCCATCCTACGTAGAAACACATAAATCCGTCCACTAGTTTCACCAAATGTATCAATACTGAAATTACAACAAACACACATTTAAGAGGTTTTATACCAAATTTGGATCTTAAAGTTCTAACAGTCATTTTTATGTACAGTACGTTTGTGTCGTACGAAGCCCCAAACATTTCTTTCTCCAGGCGCTCTGTAGTACAGAGGATTTCCACAGGTAGTGTTTGTGGCGTTATTTTAACTGTAATCAGTTTTTGTTGGACACGTTTGCAGATCTGATCCAGCTGAAGGCCTCGGACAGACCCGGCCCCGTGTGGACCTTTTGTTAACGTTAGTTTGATATTCGTGTCATTAATGTTCTCTGGACGCAGGAGCTCAAACAAAAGCACTTGTTTTTTTTTATTTATTATTATTAAACTTTATTTACAAGACTTCCTGTTTGTTTACAGTTTGTGTGTTATTCTTCCTTCAGTTCATCCGTCAGCTGATCAATCGTACAGGGAAAGTGTCGATTCTGGATCCTGTATCGGGACTTTTACTACGATTTTCCAAAATAAAAGAACCCAAACAACCCCAAAGATTGAAGAAGTAAAACTTCAATAATATCCCCGACTTTTATTCGCTAACAGTAGGCTACGAGCCACAGGGCTAAGGTTATGCTAGCAACATTCAAAGTCAGTAACAGTGCATAATGCTAACAAACAGTTAATATAATTTAACTACTGTTACATTAGGGTTAGGGATTTAACAGCAAGACTAGTGAGGTCATTGCCCGCAAATCAATATCCAGATTTTGGACACCCAGCAGCCAATCAGAATCGAGTATTCACCCAGACCATGTTGCCCCAGAGGTGGTACAGTTATAAAAGTTACATCTTCTTCTTCCCTCATAGTTCCACAGTAATAAATGAAAATAACAGAACATAATTCAGTCATTTGTCAACCGTTTTTATTAGCTCGAGGGACGGTCGGGAAAAACAAACTGATGAAGTCACTCTTTAATGTTTAAACGTCTCACACGTCTTCATCGTTCTGCAGAATACAAAGTGCAAAGTCAACAAGAAGCAATTTCAAATGCTACACAGGATCCATGGAAAGTACATTCGATATTTAGGTTTACGATTGCACAGAACCTCAAAAAAATTAAAAACAGTTTCAACACTGGATACATATTTTATTTTTTCAATGAGAGGATTAGTTGTTTTTTTCTGCCAGTCAAAGAGCATGCAGGTTATGTTTAGCTGCAATAAGCTGCCCGATACATCAAACGTTTCATATCGTCACTAAACAGTCGGAACAAACTGGAACTCAGGATGCAAAGATTTCGTCTGTAAATGCAGATACTGAATGTACGAAGTTCAACAGGGCGAGTAGAGAGCGGACGAATCCCCACAGACTGAATGTGAGGCTGTGAAGTGTAAAAACAACATCTACGCATCTTCAGCGCTGAAGCTTCCTCCAACATTTCATTAATACGTCAACCCACGAACAAAATGTAAAACTATCTGACAGCTGAATGGACACCAGGGACGCACCGATGCCACGGTTTACACACCGTGTGTACTTTACAGATGAGTGCTTAATAATACCGTCACAGTTTGAAGACGATTGTATTTAAATCAGATGTTCCTCATCTTCTGACCATAACAAATTAAATGTTGCAAAAGTTGCTTTGAAACACTCCAATATAGTATATAGAATAATCTATAGATGAGAGCAGCACATCTGGGTACTTCGTCATGACCCCGCCCACTTTTGGGTGAAAGCAGAGCCTCCAGTTTGACTGCCGGTAAATGTAAAATCTGAGGTTTTTGCCGATTTCATAGCATAAAATAAGAATACTGATTCACAGTTATGTTGTGTCACTGCAGATCAACAATCGTCGTCACTATATAGACAAAGTGGGTCCTTATGGAGACTGACTCACTGCTGGAGCCGACCCCTAGTGGACGTTAGAGGAACTGTAGGTTTTGTTATTCTGTGTTATTCCCGATGCCATAAAGCGGTATCTGAGTAGTTGTACCGGTGCGTTCCTCGTCTGTAGGGATTCATCATTATAATTAAAAGTGAATAAAGTGCAAAAGAAGAGAGAACAATAGAATGAGCAATGAAAATAAAATCATTAATAATGATTTAATAATCCTTCCAACAGTCTAAACTCTTGTTGCGTGCGGAGCTCCGGAGGCGTCATTTTTTAACTTGTGCACGCAGATTATTAATCGATGCTCCCATTAATAAATCCCACACACGTGTCAGTAATATGTGATCAGAACAGTGTACAGCAGTTCATCCATGTTTATAGGACATACGTACATACACAGTGTGACCGTAACACCTCAGTGCTCGACACCCACCGTACTCCACGCAAACCGCTCCGCAGCGATACAGAACATTCACCGTTTCAAGTTTATGTGCTGAAAACATGCAAAACAAAACCATCATCACGTTTCTGAACGAGCTCCTTCTGGAAATAATCCTCCTCTTCAAAGTCTGAGCGTGTAGAGATGGCGTGTTTGGGAGGGATGCAGAGGTCAATCCTTCCTCCTCTCCCCCATCTGAAGAATCGCACTGCGTTCCTCAAATCACCCCAAAAAATAATCCCGCTGTCGTCTCACTGCGGAAACGGATCCTCTTCAATCCAACTGTGGCACAACATCAGATTAACCGTCCACTGAGGCTTAAATCCACTGAGGTCAGCCAGCTTTAACTCAAGACCCGAACGTCTGCTGGGAGGAAGAAGATGATGATGATGGATTCTCTGACATCACAGCGGGGGGGCCAATGGGGTCAGAACTATACATCCAGGACACGCGGCGACCGGTCGGTCAGTTCTCACGGAGATCGACATCTGTCGACGCTGTGACGGAGGATGACGGAGGGAGCCGAGGTCTTTAATGCTCCTGCAGGTTCTGGTCGTGGTTCTGGTTCTGGTCATGGTTCTGGGAGGGGGGCAGCAGGCGGGCGACGTGGCCGATGCCTTTGGTGACGCCCTCTCTGAAGAGCAGCTTGGCGCCCAGCCGCAGGTACTCGGGGTGTTTGATGAAGCGGAAGCGGACCACGGCTCTCTCGCCCGTGCGCAGCTCCTCCTGCAGCAGAGAGTTGCAGTTACACACAAACAGCCACAAGAGGGCGCAGCAACCATAAGCTTTATGTTAATCTACAGACCGACCTTCCCGTGAAGGCACTCCACCGTGGCCGTCTGCCGGACGTTGCCCACGTGCACAGTGACCTGCGAGCCCCGGCGGAAGGTCTTCGCGTGGAAGAGCAAGACGATGGCGGCTTCAAACTGGCAGCAGATGGTCGGGTTCATCTTGGGGCTGACCATCACCATACCCTGCAACAGCCAATCAGAGAGCACCGCCATCAAACACTGACGTCAACTGCACGTGTGTGCTTCAGGACGGGTTGACGAGTAGGGATGCTCCTGGAGACTAATTCCACCATCGATTAAACAAAAGTTTACACACACACACACACACACACACAAACACACAGTTCCAACACATACAGGCTTCAGGTTGTGTGACATCTGACCTTACGCAGCAGCGAGCGGTCAAAGTTTCCCAGAGCCAGCGTGGCGGCCTGCCCGGCCCTCAGCACCCTGCAGGCCGAGCGGTTCCTCTGGATGCTGCCCACCTTCAGACGCAGGAAGCGGCCCTCGTCTGTCGGACCGACCACCAGCCTCTCGCCCTCCCTGCACACTCCACTGAAACACACAGACACAATGTGAGTGACTCACCAGAACTGAATGAACTCGTATATGACCAACATCACATAAAAGAGCCATCGATACATATGCTGGAGTCTCAGGGCACATAGGGTTGTAGTGTTATGAGAATGAATATTGACTTTATTGTCAACCTCTCAGATTGGTGACTGTTGGAGACACTAACAGACGGTTTTAATACGTTTTATTCTGTTTCTGTCCACTGTGTGTTTCACGATTATCTGTGAGGTAAAAATGCTGGTTGTGGAGTCTGGTGCTGAATGTCTGTATATAACACTGAACACTGAACACACTGGACTCTTTTGATTCATTATATTTTATATAAATAATATGGAACCTACAGATGGTTGCTGGTATTGATTATATGACTGCGACACGTGAAAGGATCAATAAAACGATTAAAAACAAAATACCTTTTCTACCAGACAACCTTAATATGAGCTCACCTGTACAGAGTTCCTCCGACCACAGTCCCGACATCAGGAACTGAGTAGATCTCATCCACCTGCACGACACACACACACACACACACACACACACACACACACACACACACACACACAATGGAAATCAGATCAATATCTTGTATAAAAATTATTATTGTCATAATCGAGCTCAGCTCACATCATGATGGAGCTGGAGAAAAAAGAAGAAGAAAGAAACATTAAAGCTATTAGATATCAGAATATTCCCACAGTAACATTCCCACAGTAACATTCCCACAGTAACATTCCCACAGTAATATTCCCACAGTAACATTACCACAATAATATTCCCACAGTAATATTCCAACAGTAACATTACCACAGTAATATTCCCACAGTAACATTCCAACAGTAACATTACCACAGTAATATTCCCACAGTAATATTCCCACAGTAACATTCCAACAGTAACATTACCACAGTAATATTCCCACAGTAATATTCCCACAGTAACATTCCCACAGTAATATTCCCACAGTAATATTCCCACAGTAACATTCCCACAGTAATATTCCCACAGTAACATTCCCACAGTAATATTCCCACAGTAATATTCCCACAGTAACATTACCACAATAATATTCCCACAGTAATATTCCCACAGTAATATTCCCACAGTAATATTCCCACAGAAATATTGCCACAGTAAAATACCTGGAACTCTGTGAGCTGCTGCATCAGCTCCTCCTGCTCCTTGCTGTTGCTCAGCGGAGGGAGGATGTTCAGGAAAACCTTCAGGAGATCCAAACTCTCTCCGGACACACTGGACAGGGTGAAGATAGGTGTGATGCTGCACACACACAAACACACACACACACACACACACACACACACACACAGTGGAAACTTTAGTCACACTATGTTTCTAATATTTTGTCCAGTGTGGGAAGAAGTTTTCTTCAAAGTCTCCAGTTGACACAAAGAACTAAAACCACACTGTGATATTACAGTATTATCAGTAATATTAGCATTAATATTAACATTATTAGCAGTATTATTAGCAGTAATATTAACATTATTAGCAGTATTATTAGCAGTAATATTAGCATTAATATTAGCATTATTAGCAGTAATATTAGCATTAATATTAGCATTATTAGCAGTAATATTAACATTATTAGCAGTATTATTAGCAGTAATATTAGCATTAATATTAGCATTATTAGCAGTAATATTAGCATTAATATTAGCATTATTAGAGTAATATTAGCATTAATATTAGCATTATTAGCAGTAATATTAGCAGTATTATTAGCAGTAATATTAGCATTAATATTAACATTATTAGCAGTATTATTAGCAGTAATATTAGCATTAATATTAGTATTATTAGCATTAATATTAGCATTAATATTAGCATTATTAGCAGTAATATTAGCATTAATATTAGCATTATTAGCAGTAATATTAGCATTAATATTAGCATTATTAGCAGTAATATTAGCAGTATTATTAGCAGTAATATTAGCATTAATATTAACATTATTAGCAGTATTATTAGCAGTAATATTAGCATTAATATTAGCATTATTAGCAGTAATATTAGCATTAATATTAGCATTATTAGCAGTAATATTAGCAGTATTATTAGCAGTAATATTAGCATTAATATTAGCATTATTAGCAGTAATATTAGCATTAATATTAGCATTATTAGCATTAATATTAGCATTAATATTAGCATTAATATTAGCATTAATATTAGCATTATTAGCAGTAATATTAGCATTAATATTAGCATTAATATTAGCATTATTAGCAGTAATAATAATTGATCCCACCACGCAGACTGGGCGAACTGCTGCGCGGCCGTCACGGCGTCGTCGGGGTTGGACACCACCATCGGGACCTTGTTGCAGCCCGGCTGCTTCAGGACTCGCTCCAGCTGCCGGACGGTTCGGTCCACGGTGCCGCGGGAGCACAGGTCCACTTTACTGACCACTATGAAGATGGGAACTTTCAGCGCCATGGCCAGGCCCAGGTGCTCCCGGGTCGTACCGGCTGCACAGGGGAGAATAAAACACTTCATTACCCAGAAAGCACCTGGTCCCAGGACAGAATAATCCCCTCTGTTGATCTTTTATTGGACTCTTTGTGTTAAATTATTAACAGAAATATAAATGATTTAAATTTAAGATCTGTTTCATGATCATACCTCAAACTATTATTGATTAGTGTCAGCAGTAACTATATTTCTAATAATGAATGAAATGAATGTGACATGGATAAGTGTGTATTTTATAATAACTCTGATAATATCCACGTCTTTAAGGTTGGACGATATAATATCATCAATCTGTCTGTTTCCCCATCCTGAGCTCTGAACGCTGATCACTCCTGCCCCCTGCTGGACACTAACTGACCCTAAACAAATCTTTTTCCAGGACATCACTTGCTCACTCCTAACAGTTTAAATTTAGTCTAATTTTATTTCATTTAACAGACAATTCCTCTTCTCACCTATTAGCCTCTTAGAACCACAACTGGAACCAGCTTCCAGTTGTGGTTCTGGAGGCAGACACCCTCACCACATTCAAGAGTAGGCTTAAGACATTCCTCTTTGATAAAGCTTATAGTTAGGGCTGGATCAGGTGAGTCCTGAACCATCCCTTAGTTATGCTGCTATAGGCCTAGACTATCGGGGGATTTCCCATGGTGCACTGAGCTCCTCTCTTCCTCTCTCTTTCTGCACTCATTCATGTTCCATTAATGCATGTTACTAACTTCACTTCTTCCCCGGAGTTCTTGTGCTTTCTCGTCTCGCAGGTTCTCATGGATCCTGGTGGAGCCTCCTGCCATGGTCCTGCTAGATTGCCATTGCCAATACTGTTGTTGCTGTGCACCTGTCTGTCTGTCTGTCTGTCTCTCTCTCTGTCTCACCCCAACTGGTCGAGACAGACGACCACCCACCTAGAGCCGGAGGATCTGTCCTAGGTTTCTGCCTTTTAACAGGCAGTGTTTCCTTGCCCTTGTCTCCAAGGTCTTGCTCATGGTGGTACTGTTGGGTCTCTGTAATTAATGTTATAAAGAGTTCGGTCTAGACCTGCTCTATTTGAAAAGTGTCCTGAGATAACTTCTGTTATGAATTGGCGCTATACAAATAAAATTGAATTGAATTGAATTGAATTGAATTATAAGAAGAAGAAAGTCTTTGTTGTGCGTATAATTCCCATCACTGTGTATTATTAACCACAACAACAAGACATTCCTCCAATGGGATTTCTGATATAATAGACTCAACGTCAAAAAAGATCGCTGGAAGTTCGTTTGTTCCACGTTTGGTAAACGCGCTCTGAAGTGTCGCACTGCGCCGTTTATCCAACAGTCGAGTTTCAAACTAAACACGCAGACGACCCGAGTGAGTGAGGAGCTGAAATTCAATAAAACATTTCCAGGACGACACAGTTAATTCCAGGATATTTTGTCACTCTAATAAATTTCCAGGTCTTTCCACTAATGGAAAACTAGTCTCTAAATTTCCAGGTTTTCCAGAAGAGTGGGAACCAGGTTTACTTCCTGTCTCCAGAAGGTGACCCTGACTGAATGCTCGTATGTTAGATGTGTTCAGGACGGGACTCTGATACGTTTGAGGTTTGGGACTGAATGGACAAAGTACACTGAAATTACAACTTCCTGTTATTTGAAACATCAAAATTTGACACCATTGCACGGACACGCTACGGACACGCTACGGACACGCTACGGACACGCCCTTTCGACAAAACTCACAAATAGCCCAGCTGTTCATTGTTATGTCTTTAGATCGCACTGAAGTCGATCTGATCGATTTCTAAAGGGGGTTTATTAAAGTCACCACAGTTTACCACTAAATGCAGCTCACCGATGCCGGTGTTGGCGCTCACCACCAGCATGGCGAAGTCGGGGCAGTAGCTGGTGAGGCCGAAGATGGTCGTCTTCAGGTACTTGTGGTGTCCGGCCAGATCAATGAAGGTGATCATCTTAGAGGAGCTCTCACAGATCTCCTCTGCGGTCCGAGACTCGCTGTAGTTCACAACCTGCGGCGAGACGCAAAGACATTTCTGTTGGAATATTACTGTATTTTATAAATAAATGGAAAAATATCCTGTAATTTACATGTTAAAAAAATCTGTTACTGTCTCTCTCTCTCTCTGTCTCTCTCTCTCTCTCTCTCCCTCTTCCGCTGTCTCTCTCTCTCTTGCTGTCTCTCCCACTCTCTCCCTCTGTCTCTCTCTCTCCCGCTGTCTACCCCCCCACCTCTCTCCCTCTGTCTCTCTCTCTCCCTCTGTCTCTCTCTCTCCCACTGTCTCTCCCACTCTCTCCCTCTGTCTCTCTCTCTCTCTCTCTCTCTCCCACCTCTCCCTTGCTGTTGAAGCCGAGGATCTCGAAGCTGATGCTGGACGTGCGTCCCGTCTGGATCTCGTGCAGATGTCTGAAGAGGTTGAGCCGCGCTCGGCCTCGGCCGTTGTCCAGCTCGCCCTGCGTCAGGACGCCGAGCAGCGTCGACTTACCAGAGTCCACGTTCCCCAGAACCGCCACCCGCAGGTCCAGGAACTGTCCCAGTACAGAGGAGAAGGAACATAGTCTCTGATATTATTAGCCTCCCAACTCAGTTCACCACGTTCAAACAGCAGAAAATGAATCCTGATGAATGAATGAATGAAGGACAGACTCACCTGCTGATCATCGGGAACCTTTCGAACCAGGACTTCTGCGATTTTACGGGTGTTTCTGTCCAAGTCGTAGTCCACCTCCCTCTCTCGGAGGAGAGTGATGTCGGCGCCGACTCTGACGGGACAGAAAACCTGATCAGACCTCAAACAAACAACCGACAACAGCAGGAAGCAGAGAAAGTCAGCTGACAGCGAGCGACCTGGTTTCATAGAGGTGGCGAAAGTAGGTGGAGGTTCCCAGGCTGCCACTAGGGGACGCCAAAGCTTCACGGGGGCGCAGCGCCTTCTTGATGTTAGGTTGTGTAAGAAAACTTCGAAAATGTACAAAGTAGGCCGATACCTATGGAAGCCCATTTCTGCCAATGTGACGAAATAATAAAAGTGTCTGTAAGTCAATATGATGAGAAAGTTTCTTAATATTTTGACCCAATATCACAAAGTCATTATTTGGAGATCCTAACTTTATATTTCATCGTAATTAAAACAACCAAAGAGCTAAAAAAAACAAGTGTCAGGGAGAAGAAAATGCTGAATTTGCAAAACAAATAAGCCTAATAAGTTTGTATGATTGTTAAAAAAGTAAATAAATACAAACAAAAGTTCCTAAAAAATAAAGGAAAACTCTGATCAATATTTACAGGAAATAAACTCTTAAGCGGTTTCATACATCCAGAGAACTTCTATAAAATCCAGACCAGGCCTCTAATTGAGACACCTTTGTGTTTTTGGTTCCTAAAAATAGAATAATTGGGAAAATATTGTTTTGAACGTCATCACACACAAATAAAGTCCTATATTACAGATCTGTTACAGACGTAGGCAACCTACTTCTCCGCCATCCTCTTCAAGGTCTTGAGCGAGGCCTTCATGTCGGCCTCCGTCAGGCCGACCAGCAGGCCGTTGTCCTCCACGCCGATCTGGTAGACGGCCTCGCCGCGGCCCTCCTGCAGACGCCACTTGAGCTGCGTGGCCAGATGCTCGAAGCGATACTGAGTCGGGTTGACGAGCTTCAGCTACAGAGACAGAGAAACAGAAACCTTTAATCTGTCGAGCTATTGTCTCCAGTTATTGATCGATCAGTTTGTCTATAAATATTAATATAAATATTAAATAATGCCACTGGGACCTGTAGTTTATTCACATCGGAGGGTAAGAACGAGCAAAGATGGAGGATTTAATGTTTCATAGCTCTGATCTAATTTAATCTGACATCACTAAAACAACAACAACAACAACAACAACAACAAACAGTTATGGTTCTTCAAATGTTCATTTAACATACATTCACAAAGCATAAAGTCTGTCTTTTTACATAAAAATTCAAGATAAATTATTATGATAGAATATAATTAATATACTAAAATAAGATGAAAAACTAAAATAAAAACTATATTTCCTCTTTGTATCTGAGGTTAGAGTATAAACTGGGACAGATATTCTAGTTCATATATGTTTTTGGTGCCATATTGTGCAGACATTGACACTGTGGTCAGTATGTTGCTGCTATAATGTCGATATGAACAGAAACTCTCTCTGTCTGCTGCGATTGGTTCAGTTTGTGCTGAGTTTACTTCATTTGGTTCTCTTTGGTTTTATAAAATGTGTTTTCTTACAGTTTTATCATGACCACAGTATTTTTACAGTGTGGAAAATAAAGGATGTGAACACTTCCTCCACCGCTGACTGTGGTCAACATACGTTACAACTAATATCTGTAGAGAAATGTCAAAGGTCAGTCAGAAGTAGTACTGTAGTACAGAGTTTGTCCACCAGGGAGCGCTCTACACTGTAACATCTCACTCACTACATCATTATTTTTATTATTTATTAACTAAAGGCCATTTCTTATACTCAACACATTCCTGCACAAACAGTTATTTATTATTTATGATTACTGTTAATCACCAATATGCAGACGTTTCATTGTGTTTATATTCAAAGATAAATATACGAATCAGATTTATTTTAACTCTCTAATGTCCACTATGATTCTGGCTCTAAACTGTGAGAGAAATAAACTAGAGCTATAAAATAACTCTCACATTAACATTAAAAAGCAACTTATATCATGAATGTGCGGCTGTTTCTACATTTAACTGCCAACGTGATGTGTTAATGCTCTGTAACAGTGTCTGACCTCCAGAGACACACCGTGTTACAGTCTCGTTAAGACAATAAAGTCCATACAAAGTCTGTTGTGGTTTTCATGGGGGGGGGGGTAATAAACAGTACTGGGTGACTTTATCAGAGGTCACATACGGACGCATTCACCGCATGTAATATTCTGTTTATTGCTCTTAATCCCACTAAACTATTTCATGACACAGGTCAAAAATATAATATAATAATATAATTATTGTTTTTAGTTCTTTCATTTAGAATTAAAATAAAACACAATTCTATTAAAAAGGTATGTTGTTTGTCAGAAGGTCAAAGGTCAAAGGTTCCCACAAACGGTTGATAAGGAGAGAAGCTGGTTTCAGTTGTTGTTTGGCTGTGAACAATATATATAATATAAAATATTAGTAATGATTTCAGGTTATTGCTCTTTCCTGTAAAACCTGAACTTACACATTTTTATTACTTTTATTCTGAAGTTGATGTTGTGTAAGTTACCTTGTACTCAATGTTTCCTTCTTCAGCCTGAAACAGAGAAAGACGACAGATAAAGACTCTTAATGTCAGAATAATGTAACAAACACTGAACTATAGCACACACACACACACACACACACACTGTGGAGAACAACCCGTCTGTAACTTTAAAGGAATAATATGTTGTATTAAATCATAGCGTGTGAATATTTGATGAAGGACAAACTACAGTAATACATTTTATATTCCAGCTGTGATAGAAACCACTGGTTGAAGTGAATGTGTTTTAACACTACAGCACTTTATGATACAGAATGTCAACCTTATTTCATTCACTGTTCTAACAATTTAAAGTTTCTTTAGACAAAAGAAAAGTTCATTATAATATAATACTTTGTAATAGACCATTTCTTATATTAACGAGATGAACTTGTCTCTTCGGCATGAAGTTAAAGACCTGAATATCTGTTTTATACCTGCAGTATATATAAAGCAAACACTGCTTCTTCTTATTGAGACAAGAGCCGAATGATGAAGTGCTCTTCATTCTCTGAGATAAGATACAGAGTGAACCGCCACAGCCGTTGTGCTTTAACCCTTTAATGAAATCACCTTTAATTGTCAGATATGTGAGTGCGGTTTGGTGTGACGTTGTCTCCGGGAGAGCTATCTCTAACTCACACTAACGGTATCTCCTCTGCTGTTACAGATGTGTGTTACAGATGTGTGTTACAGATGTGTGTTACAGATGTGTGTTATTGTTGTGCTGTGAACTAAATGTAGCACTAGTTAGCCTGAAGCTAGCTAGCTGTCTGGCGTTAATCCCCGGGATAAAGAGCGGAAGCTACCTCCGGTGGGAAGTACGGTGGCGGTGTTTTGTTGTTCCTGTTGTTCTTTTTATTCCTTCTCCTTCGGCCGCGTTTGCCTCTTCTCGTTCGCGACTTTTTCGACGTTTTCTTCCCGTTGTTACCGGAGCCCGGTCCGTGTCTGCCGTGCCCGGGCGACACTGCAGCACTCTGGGACAAATCCACCATCGCTGAGCCCCGGGAGTCACCGGCAGCCTGAGACCGCGACCTCTGAGCTCACGGCGGTGGAGTCATATGATCGATAACGTTAACGGTATCAATAATCGTCCTCTTCCTCACACAGCGGGCCTGAGTGCAGCGGGGGATGCTCTCTCCTCAGCACCAGCGCCGGAAGCACCTTTCACAATAATATCACCGGTTTAAATTTCAAAGTAAAAGTACCAACAGTCTATTATCCAGATACTTAACACTTTAAAAGGTAGATTAGATCAGATCTTAACCACACTGTGGAATAAATGTGAAGGTTTAAAAAGTTTTTCCTGTATTATTTTTAAATATTATTAACTTACATAAATATCCTGTGAATTTACATGTCTAATAAATATTTCATGTTTATTTAAAAGATTAAACTGTTCAGTTCAGTTTAATACTGTTAATACATTTATGAAATTATGTAAAATTAGTGACAATTAACAGCAAGGATTAGTTAGTTAACTGACAGATATCCTGTTTCACAGATAATGACTTTTATTACAGTTCTATAACTTCAAATTCACATTAAAATAAAATCCAATAATAACAGCACTCTGCTGTAAAATTAAGCCTGATTATTTGTATTATAGCAGAGTTCACCTGGATTTATAGCTCACTGATTTTACAGTGTAAACATCTTCAATTAGACATTAAAAAAAATTAAAGCTACTTTTATTGTCAGATTTGATCTGATTCTAGTTTTTATTCTGTTTAATGGTTTCAGTGTTGGTCTTTCCTCCTGCAGCTCAGAGTACAGCAGACAACCAGCCGAGAGCCTTTGTTTAGTGGCATCTTTCCAGTTCTTGGCCACGTGCCACAGTAGTTGCACATTACACACCACCTGCCTTCATTACGTGTTTAGGGAGTGTTTCCATTTGTCGTAACAGAGCAATAATAGAAATTTAAGAGGATGTTATTTTATATATATTTATCATTTGTATAAAATAATGATTACTACAATATTGAGAAACACTTTCTTTCTTTCACTTAACTGAGAATGAAAAGAGTAACTCCCTGTTTGATTAGAGCTGTTAGTTTAGTGTTAATGCTGGTTGTTCAAACACAGTAAATATTATCAGCTGCACTCACCAGTATTTGAGTCAGTTGTTGAGAAAGTCCTGATCAGTTTATTATTTCTTCACACAGAAACACAGAGACTGGTCTCTGCTGCAGCTCTGCTGTAACTCTGGCAAACTCTAAGTTTCATTTCAGGAGTGTGACGTTGAAGCTCTCGTATTTCCATTGTTGCTCCGACTCTAACTGCAGCTCTGATTGTGAGGTTGTGAATCCTGCAGGTTTAATTTTCAGAGAACTTTTAAGTTTTTATCTATTTATATAGTTTTCTCAAAAAGAGGTCAATCCCACAAGCAAGAATATATTTTAAGGTCAGCAGAAAACAACAGTCCCTTTTTACTCCTCTATCTTATATCTGTCCACAGTTCAGCTGTTTGTCCTTTTTTTAACCTCTTCATGTTGTTCTTCTATTTGTTTCTCTCCTATAGTTGTTACTGAATGAGGAAGTTGAGAGGTGTGTGCAGTCTGTCCACTCCTCTTATAAACCCTCCTCCCTCTGATGTGTGCTGTTATGCTGACCTCCAGTGCCCCCCCCAGTCTAATACTCACATTCAATGAGGCACTGGCCGAGGAGGTGGAGTAGCAGCCATATATGATTCGAGCATTTTAATGGACCCTAAACCTAAACTAAATTATAATTCATTTGAAAGCCTTGTTCTTAGTCTTTCTCACCCAAACTGGAAAACACTGCAGCCAGTTCTATTTGTTATAGTGTAGTTTTTATCAAGTTTAGTCCTTAAATCAGATAAAGTAATTATTGTAGGTGATTTTAATATTCATGTGGATGTTAACAATGACAGCCTTAGTAACACATTTATATCATTAATAGACTCAATTGGCTTCTGTCAGAGTGTAAATAAACCAACTCATTGTTTTAATCACACTCTTGACCTTGTTTTATCATATGGCATTGATATTGAACATTTAATAGTCTTCCCACATAATCCTTTCCTATCTGACCATTATTTAATAACTTTTGAATTCATATTATTAGATTATAAGCCATTAGGCAAAACTTCCTACAGCAGATGTCTATCTGACAGTGCTGTAGCTAAATTTAAGGAGGAGATTCCTTCAGTGTTTAATTCAATGCCATGTCTGAATTTAACAGAGTCCTTTAACGACTTTAGTCCCTCTGAAATTGATAATCTTGTTGATAGTGCTGCAGGCTCACTACGATCAACATTAGACTCTATCGTTCCTATAAAAAGGAAATTATTAAAACATAGGAGACTAGCACCTTGGTACAACCACCAAACCCGCCAGTTAAAGCAAATAGCTAGGAAATCTGAAAGGAAATGGCGCTCTTCCAAATGATCAGAATATCGTTCAATTTGGCATGATAATCTTAAAACCTATAGAAAGGCCCTCCGTAATGCCAGAGGAGCCTATTACTCAGCACTAATAGAAGAAAATAAGAATAACCCTAGGTTCCTCTTCAGCACTGTAGCCAGGCTGACAGAGAGTCACAGCTCTATTGAGCCACATATCCCCATAAACTTAAGTAGCAATGACTTCATGAGCTTCTTCTATAATAAAATTATTACTATTAGAGAGAAAATTAATCACCAACTGCCATCAACAGCTATCAGTGGCTCTCCAAGTTCAGGGACTTTTGCTAATGTAAACTCAGATATATATTTACACTGTTTCTCTGTTATTGATCTTCATCAGTTAACTTCAATCATTTCTTCATCGAAGCCATCAACCTGTCTATTAGACCCGATCCCAACTAGGCTGCTTAAAGAAGTCATACCCTTAATTGGCACTTCTTTACTGGATATGATTAATCTTTCTTTATTATCAGGATATGTACCACAGTCCTTTAAAGTAGCTGTAATTAAACCCCTTCTTAAAAAGCCCACTCTTGACCCAGGGGTTTTAGCCAACTATAGACCGATCTCTAACCTCCCCTTCCTCTCTAAGATTCTGGAGAAAGTAGTCGCCAAAGAGTTGTGTGACTTTTTACAAAACAATAGTTTATTTGAGGATTTTCAGTCAGGATTTAGAGTTCATCACAGCACAGAGACAGCTCTGGTTAAAGTTAACAATGACCTTCTGATTGCTTCTGACAATGGACTTGTCTCTGTACTTGTATTATTAGATCTTAGTGCTGCATTTGACACCACTGACCATAATATTCTTTTAGAGAGACTTGAGCATCAAATTGGCATTAAAGGAACCGCACTAAGCTGGTTTAAGTCATATTTATCAGATCGTTCGCAGTTTGTACATGTTAACGATGAATCTTCAATAAATACTACAGTTAGTCATGGAGTTCCACAAGGTTCTGTACTTGGACCAATACTATTTACTTTATATATGCTCCCTTTAGGCAACATTATTAGGAATCACTCCATTAACTTTCACTGTTATGCAGATGATACGCAGTTATATCTATCAATCAAGCCCAATGAAATTAATCAATTATCTAAATTACAAACATGTCTTAAGGACATAAAATCCTGGATGACCTGCAATTTTCTGATGCTAAACTCGGAAAAAACGGAAGTTCTTGTACTTGGCCTCAAAAACCTCAGAGACTCACTGTCTAAAGATATAGTTACTCTAGATGGCATTACCTTGGCCTCCAGCACCAGGCTCTAGGCTGGATTACTGCAACTCTTTATTATTAGGTTGCCCCAATAAGTCCATTAAGACGCTCAAATTAATTCAAAACGCTGCAGCACGAGTACTGACAGGAACTAGGAAAAGAGATCATATCTCTCCTGTATTAGCGTCTCTGCACTGGCTCCCTGTAAAAATTTTGAATAGAATTTAAAATCCTCCTCCTCACCTATAAATCTCTCCATGGTCAGGCCCCTTCATATCTTAAAGAGATTATAGTACCTGGGCTACTTGTGGTTCCTATAGTCTCTAAAAGTAGAACAGGAGCCAGAGCCTTCAGCTCCTCTCCTGTGGACTACTGTTAGTGTAGTTGTTGCTACTTCTGTTGCTGTGCACCTTTGTCTCTGTCTTTCTGTCGTTGTCTCTCTCTCTTTCTCTCTTTCTCTCTCTCTCTCTCTCTCTCTCTCTCTCTGTATGGTCTAGACCTGCTCTATTTGAAAAGTGTCCTGAGATAACGTCTGTTGTGAATTAGCGCTATACAAATAAAATTGAATTGAATTGAATTGAATAGTGGCAACAACAGGGAAACACATCCAACCTGTCAAAATAAAGCACTTCCACAAACAGTTTCTTCCTCTGCACCAGATTTTACTGCAGTGATACTGTACAGCAGAGTATAAAATGTGGTTTTATTCACTTTTCAGCATTTGTTTTAGTCACTGACATATATCAACATTCTCTGTCTTTTTAGAATGAGGCTGAGGACTTAAGTCACTTATTTAAAACAACCTATGATGGACTTTTTATCTGGTAATTATGGTACTCAAACACAAACTGAACACTCATCCAAAGTGCTTTATACATAAAACATAAAAAATGAAAACAAGTCAAAGAAATAAAAGGTAAAATAGTAAAATAGTATAAATGGTGAAATATAACTAATACCAATTTAAGAGGCAGTATTTTTTTAAATCAATTTCAATTCTTGTTAATTCAATAAATATCTGTATATTGTTGTTCTAAGGCACATGGTTGTTTACTGATACCTACCTCTATTATCAATAGAGATCAACAGAATTAGACCCACAGCAAGTCACTTCCACAACAGGTAAGGTCTTGAAGACAAACTAAAATAACTTATACCTACTTATATTAGTGCAATTGCATCCATAACCCAGTAATTTACATCCTAAAATCAAAATGAACTTCTCACTACATAAATGAAAGTACAGTTACCAGTAGACAAATATATTTTATCTTTAACAAACCTGATAAATAAAAACAAACCCACCCAATGACAGAAAACAGTGTATTCAAATGAAAACAAGGTTAACGTGTACATTACCACTGAATGTGTACATTTGTACATAAATGACAATAAAATGTATTTGGTTTGTGTCTCTCATCCATTGCCCTCCTAGCATTGTCTGTGTGTCAGTATTGTAGTGTGAACACATTGTCTGGTATATACACTGTGGATGTAAAATCTTAAAATTAATGTCATAAGTATGTGTATTGTTGGCAATATTTCATTGCTCAGTAAATCACTGATGATAGAAAATATCAGGCACTATGATTGACAGGACAGATGATCAGAGGGGCAGAGTTTTTACCACCATCATTATTACAGGGACAGAAGAATGGGAAGAGTTTCTCAGTGAAGGAGCAGCCAGTAAAGGTGTAGATAAGAGCTGCAGAACCTACGTCATAAAAGGAGACCAGACCCTCCTCATAATCCACAAACACCCCCACCATCTCAGACTGTGACTTAAGAGAGAGACGGACTGGAGGGCTAGCAAGGGCTTTGTACTCATTTCCATTTCTCAACCATATAGTCCAGTAACCCTCCACAGGGCTCAGTGGGATTGCCTCTTTCCTGTTGATTGACTCTCTGGCCACTCCTAAAGTCCATTTAGTCTTCCCTGTAACTTGAACCTCAAAGTAAAATCTGCTTGAATCGAAACTCTGCTTTCCTAAGACATTAATATATCGAGAACATCGCTGTGGATTGTCTGGGAGATTCTTCTTCACATCACCATGATTCACTTGTTTCCCATCATCAGACAGGATGAGTTCAGAATTTGCTGTATCAGCATCAAGAGTTACATCCACTGCATACTGCTGGACCCTCTTTAGCTCAGCATCAAACAGTTTCTTCATCTCTTTACTGAGTGTCTCCTCTAGCTGAGCCACAGCTCTCACCACAGTCCCCTCATAAGATAATGGAGGGACACTGACCTCTGTCCAGTCCTTGGTGGGTGGGACATCCTTCAGGGACGGGAAGCTTTGGAGAAGATAAAGGTGGTCTTCAGAGAGTGAGAGCTGGTCCATCTCAGTGCTCCTCTTCTTCAGCTCAGAGATTTCCTGTTCCAGCTCTTTGATGGAGTCTTCAGCCTGCTTCTGTTTAATTCTCTGATTCTCTTCTAAAGTTTTGATGAGCTCATTCAGGCCTCTCTCAACAGACTCCATCAGAGACGTGAAGACCTGAACACCTTCTGCTATCTCTCTGTCTGCATTTTTCTTACTGAGGTCCACTGACTGTTTTACCTCCTGAATCTTCAGTTGTCTCCTCTGGATCATCTGCTGTATTTCAGCCTCTGTCTTTCCCAGCTCTGCCTTCTTTACTTCATATTCTTCTCTCAGAGGAACAAACTCATGTGTCTTGTGGTCTAAAACAGAGCAGAGCATGCAGACAAACATCTGGTCGGTCTTACAGTACAGCTCCAGAGGTTTATCGTGCTTCGTACACATCCTGCCTTCCAGGTTCTCCACAGGGTCGATCAGCTGATGTCTTTTTAGACCTGACATTGTCAGATGAGGCTCCAGGTGAGTCTCACAGTAGGAGACCAGACACACCAGGCAGGACTTCAGGGCCTTCAGTTTGGTTCCAGTGCAGACGTCACAGGGAACTTCTCCTGGTTTGGACACTTGTTGCTCTGGGCTGCTGCTGCTGGCTTTCTGTTGAGCTGACTGTCTGAACTGAGCAACCATCTCAGAGATAAAAGTGTTGACCTTCAAATCAGGTCTTATACTAAAAGCCTCTTTACACATCGGACACACGTACTGGTCATTAATATTCCAGTGTTCAGTGATGCAGGTTTTACAGAAGTTGTGTCCACATGGTGTGCTGACTGGATCAGTGAACACATCCAGACAGATGGAGCACAGGAACTGATCCTCACACAGCAGATTTCTGGGAGCAGCCATATCTCCACACAGAGAATGAAAGTGAAAGTGTAATAACATGTATTCATCATGTTTAGAAAAAATCAAAGCATAATTACTTATTAAAATGATTAATATTAAGTAGATAATTTTCAGTTCAATGGGTGTGTTCAACTTGATTGAGATGTGCATCTAACAAGTGCCATAAATTATGTGAAAAGAAACTCCCTGTTTGATTAGAGCTGTTAGTTTAGTGTTAATGCTGGTTGTTCAAACACAGTAAATATTATCAGCTGCACTCACCAGTATTTGAGTCAGTTGTTGAGAAAGTCCTGATAATATCAGTTTATTATTTCTTCACACCGAAACACAGAGACTGGTCTCTGCTGCAGCTCTGCTGTAACTCTGGCAAACTCTACGTTTTATTTCAGGAGTGTCACGTTGAAGCTCTCGTATTTCCATTGTTGCTCTGACTCTAACTGCAGCTCTGATTGTGAGGTTGTGTTTACTCCTGCAGGTTAAGACATGATTATACTGAAATACATTTGGCACGAGATAAGTTTAATCTTCAGAGAACCTGACTTCTTTATTTATTCATCTGCAGTGTGTTTTCTTCTGCATTTTCTCAGAGGTCAATCCCACAAGCAAGAATATATTTTAAGGTTAGCAGAAAACAACAGTCCCCTTTGACTCCTCTATCTTATATCTGTCCACAGTTCAGCTGTTTGTCCTTCGTTTTCATATTAGTCTTGCACTTGTTTCTCTCTTATGTTAGTCAAACATAAACTGAACAGCCATCCAAAGTGCTTTACATTAAACATTAAAAATAAAAAAGTAAAAGAAATAAAAGGTCAAAAATTAAAATAATATAAATGGTGAAAGAATATAACTCATGCCGATTTAAGAACTTTTTAAAGGCAGTATTGACTTTAAGACAATTAGAATTCTCATTCACTCAATAAATATCTGTATATTGTTGTTTTAAAGGCACATTGTTGTTTACTGATACCGACCCTGTTCAGCTGTGAAATGGTTTAGTGACACAACTTCTGTATGTTATCAAAATATAATACAATTAACAAACAATTGATTGTTAATCTCTATTATCAGTAGAGATCAATAGAATAAGACCCAATGCAAGTCACTTCCACAACAGCTAAGATCTTGAAGACAAACTTAAATAACTCATATATCAGTACAATTATAATAATAATACATTTAATTTATGGGCTTTAGACCCCCATAAGTTAAAAGAAAGATAAAGGTAATAGAACAACACCTGAAATTTAGCTATAGCTACAACTCTCAACAAGAATGAATTATTAAAATCATTGAAAGCAGTTCTGAAAAGGTTTTTGATCAGTGAGTTGAAGTTGGATGGATCAGTACAGGCTCTGATTTGTTTGGGGAGAGAGTTCCAGAAGGGGGGGGCAATGGAGAAAGCTCTGTCACCCCAGGTACGATGCTTGGTCCTCAGTGGTGGAGACAGGAGCATCAGAAGAGTGGAGGCTTCGGGAAGGAGTGTGGCGATGGAGCAGGTCTGCAAGGTAGGAGGGGGCCTGGTTGTGGAGGGCTTTGTGAGTGAGGAGAAGGACTTTAAATTGGATCCGTTGTTGGACAGTGAGCCAGTGGAGGTTCTGTAGGACAGGGGTGATGTGGCCACGGGAGCGGATAAGGGTGAGCAGGCGAGCAGCAGAGTTCTGGATGTATTGAAGTTTATTAAGGACTTTAGAAGATGTACCATATAAAATGCTGCTGCAATAGTCAATTCTGGATGTGATGAAAGCTCCAGAAGAGGAGAGCGAGGGGCGGAGGCGTGCAATGTTTTTCAGGTGGAAGAAAGCAGTTCTGGTGATGTGGTTGACGTGGTGTTCAAAGGAGAGGTTGCTGTCAAAGATGACTCAGAGCTTAAAAATGTGTGGGGAGGGAGACAGAGTGGTGCTGTCAACGGTGAGAATGAACTTGTTTGTGTTTTTGGTGAGAGATTTGGGACCGATGATGATTATTTCAGATTTGTCACAGTTTAGTTTGAGGAAGTTGGCATGCATCCATGGTTTGATTTCAGTGAGGCAGTGTGTCAGGGTGGAGTGGGTTGTGGGTGTTATGGATTTAGTGGAGATGTAGAGCTGGACGTCATCGGCATAACAGTGGAAGCGGAGACCATGACGGCATATGAGGTTACCAAGGGGGAAAATGTACAAGATAAACAGGAGAGGCACTGAACCCTGGGGGACGCCTTGGGCCAGGGGAGCAGTGGAGGAGGTGCAGTTGTTGATATTGATGAACTGCTGTTCATTTGCATCCATAAAGCATCCTTACATCCTTAAAACAAAATGAACTTCTCACTCCATCACTGAAGATACCACATACAAGTAAACAAATGTATAACAAACCATTCAATTAAAAACAAATCCACCACTGTAGTATGAACTCTTTGTCTGGTACACTGTATATGGACTATATATGTGGACTAGGGATGACACAATAACAGAAATTGAGTAGTTGATACCAGTACCAGTGAAATTCCATGATTCTCAAAAAACTATTTGATACCAATCAAGTTTTTTTGTCACCGTTCCCGATTTAATATCTGCTGATACCAAATCCTGATCCAATACTTGTATTTTCCTTCATGATACAGGTTAATAACTCGGCAGCCATATCTACACACTGAGAACAAAAGCATGAAGGCAACATAGCTATACACACACATCACTCAGGACCAACGCTGACAGAAAAAGGCATCAGTGAAAAAATGGTAAAGCCTGTAAGCTTACTCGCTGCCACAAAAAATATATTATTCATGACAACAGTTTGATCCTGGAAGGATCATCATCAGGACCAAATGTGAAAAACTTGGAACCACACCCATACACAACAATAGGCAATAGGATGTCAAGCTCTGTGATGGCAGGTGTGGTCAAGCACATCAACCAGGATAATAATCCTTCTAATAGCCCAGCCAATCACCTGACTTGAATCCAATAGACTTCAACATTTGAAGACCGTGCGGAAGAATGGGCCAAAATCATGTGACTAGTTCCTCCATACAGGAGGCGTCTTGAAGCTGTCATTACCAACAAAAGCTTTTGTACAAAGTATTAAATAAATTTCAGTAAGCGTATTCAATACTTTTTCCGTGTCATGTGTGTTTATTACACAAAACTTAATAAATATTTTTTTGCATGTGTGGATTGCATGGGTTGTTACCGACATAGCACCATTAGAAATTAGAGAGACAGATGGACGGAGAGACAGACAGACAGACAGACAGACAGACAGTTGCATTCTTCTCTTCATATTCTTCCTTCAGAGGAACAACATCGTGTGTCTTGTGGTCTAAAACAGAGCAGAGCATGCAGACAAACATCTGGTCGGTCTTACAGAACAGCTCCAGAGGTTTATTGTGCTTCGTACACATCCTGCCTTCCAGGTTCTCCACAGGGTCGATCAGCTGATGTCTTTTTTAGGACTGACACAGTCAGATGAGGCTCCAGGTGAGTCTCACAGTAGAAGACCAGACACACCAGGCAGAACTTCAGGGCCTTCAGTTTGGTTCCAGTGCAGACGTCACAGGAAACTTCTCCTGATTTGAGGACAAGGAGTGTTCAGGATGGGACTGTTACAGAATATGTGAAGTTATGATTACTGAAATGCCACGGGCACGCCATTCGATGTACAATCACAAATAGCACAACTTTTCATCTGCAGTTTGTTTTGATTGTACTGACCAGTTTTGAAATTGATCCAACATATTCCCTAGGAGACTTTCTGTTGGGTTTGGGTTATGGGTCCAAGAGGCTTTTTTGCTTGTCCCATCATGATACACATGCGTACCAATTTTTGTACATGTCGGTCATATGTGTCTTGGGGGCTGATTCTGGGGGGCGTGGCTAAGCCATTTTGTGACGCCTATCTACGGGACCAAGCAAATACCTTAGCCTTCGCCACGACTGAATTTTTTACAAAGTTTCATGAGTTTTAGGCATGATTAGCCCCCCAAAAAGTGTTAAAATGTTAACAGAAAACCTGATTTTCGCCACGTCGCCATGGCAAGGTGGTTGCACGCATATTCTTCAGATTCATAAGATGTCATCGTCATCGTTTTAAGGGACCGCTGACAAAATTTCAGCTGGATCTGGTCAATCTGCTGGGAGATATACATAAAAGTGTAAAAATGACATTTCCTTTCACCACTAAGGCGCTCTCACTATTAGTGAATATTATCACATAGAAGTGTTCAGGGTGGAACTCTTATCAGCCAAGTGAAATTTGGAGCCGATTGGACAATGTACACTCAAGTTATAGCAACTTTGTGTGTTCTGGCGGTACATCAAAGTTTGATGCCACGGACACGCTTTTTAACAAACTGTCACAATCATGAAATATCATCAACAACATATTTTGCATTTCCTGATTAAATTTCAGCAGGATCTGATCATCCTACTAGGAGTAGAACATGGAAGTATAAAAAATGACATTTCCTTTCACCACTAGATGGCGCTCTTACTATTACTAAATATTATCACATAGACGTGTTCAGGGCGGGACTCTTATCAGACATGTGAAGTTTCATTGAGATCAGATCATGTATGCAGAAGTTATGATGAATCCATCTTTCATGGCGAGTCCTTGAAATTCCACACCACGCCACGGGCACGCTGTTCGAGGGAATGTCGTAAATAGCACAACTTTTAAACGTGAATGTGTTTAGATGGCTGTGTCCAAATCTGAAGTCGATCCAATCAATTCCCTAGGAGGAGTTTGTTCAAATACCACGTATGCAAATCGCCAAAAATAGCTGCTAACAGACAAGCAAACTGCTCACATGTGATTTGGATCACCATAGCAACACACAGGAAGAGGGACGTCTGATTCTGCTCAGAAAAACCATAGATATTGATCTGCTGGGAGGCCAAGATGGCACCGTGAACACACTCATTGAATCAAGCTCTGCTACCAAAAACAATTCAACGGTAAATAACGTTTAATAGAGAGCCTGCCTTTGAATAAGAACTGCTGCGAGCGTTTCCTTTTTTAGTTTGTCAAAAACAAACGTAAAAAATGTCGAGTTCGGATATGGACAAAAGAAAACTACTTCTACGTAATGAAAGGACGGGGGCAGCTTGCAACAAAGCAAAGTCAGCTAACGTTAGCCGAAATATTCTGATAGATAACCACCACAGTTACACGGCGGAAGAAGGGCTGAAACTCAGCGTGATGGATGAAGATGACTTTTCAGATGTGCCAATTACCCCAACTAAACCACCTCCAAGCAACATGTTACCGCCGGCAACGCTATGGAAACTGACTTAGCCGACGCTCCAAAGTTTGTCTCCTCACTTGCCCAGCTTATTAACACTCGGTCCGATAAGCTTGAATCACTAATTCAGGAAAACAAAACTGTGATAACGGACCTGAAAAAGTGAATCCAGTCCATCTGTGAGGATGTCAACTCAGTGAAAGGTAAGGTTGCTCAAGTTGAGCAACTTTACCACGAAGAGAAAACACGTACCGGAGTCCTAGAAACGCGGATCACAGACCTGGAAGATAATCTCGTCGTTGGAACCTGCGGCTCAACGGCATACAGTAGAGAACCAGCAGGTACGGATGGAAGTGATTAAAATCTGTCAGGCCGTCTTACCAGAGGATAAAAAACGGCTACCAGAAGTGACTGACACTGTCCATCGCCTTGGTACAAAGAATGCGAAGGGGCCCAGAAGGGTCATCATTCAGTTTTCATCCCGGGTTCACAGGGCAGCTGTCTGGGCGGCCGCTAAAAACTTGCGGTACCTGCACGACCATGGTCTACGTTTTGCAGAAGACCTTTGCCAGATCGACAGGGAAAATAGGAAGAAGCTGTGGCCAGCGGTGGAAGCTGCTCGAAAGGAAGGAAAAGTGGCTTTCTTCGTCAGAGGTCGCGGTTTTGTTGAGAACAAGGAGATCTTCCCTCCACCATAAAATGTGAAACTGTTAAATTTGCTATGAAGGTAACCAATACTGTTATATCCTGTTCCTAGATTTCTACAAAGCCTTTGATTCAGTTGAACATCAGTTTATTTTTAGTTCTCTGGAAAAATTTGGTTTGGGGCATTTCTTTAGCAAAGCTATTCAAACTTTATATGCTAATAGTAACTGTTCTATTAAATTGAGTTCTGCCACGACTCGACGCTTTGACATCAAACGAGGAATCTGGCAAGGTTGTCCTATCTCTCCTTACCTGTTCCTCCTTGTCACCCAACTCTTAGCTAGTCATGTGAAATCAAGCGCTCTGAAAGGCATCACAGTTGCAGAAAGAGAAATCGTTATCAGTCAGCTTGCAGATGATACGACTATTTTTTTAAAAGATTCTTCTCAGATACCTTGTGCCCTAAACATAATCGATGTGTTCTCTAAAGCCTCTGGACTATACCTAAATGTAAACAAATGTGAGTTAATGGCAGTGAAAGACTCAGTTACTCGCTCAATATCAAACATCCCTGTCAAAGATACAGTAACATATTTAGGAATCTCCATCACTAAAGATCAGAAAGCTAGAAATGCTTTAAATGTTACCCCGGTTATAGAAAAAGCTCAAAAAAGATTTAATCTTTGGCTCCTAAGAGATTTATCTTTAAGAGGTAGAACGTTAATAACAAAAGCAGAAGGAATATCTAGACTTTCTTACTCTGCCCTCTCATTACATGTAGACAATAAAACCATCAAATGCATAGATCAGATGTTATTTAATTTTTTATGGAAATAACTTGTGTCTCTTGTGTGTGAGGGCAGAGTAAGTTTATATTCAATGTCTATTAGTTATGTTAGTTGTTATAATTCATTTGAAAACCTTGTTCTTAGTCTTTCTCACCCATCCTGGAAAACACTGCAGCCAGTTCTATTTGTTATAGTGTACCGCACTCCTGGACCGTACTCTGATTTTATATCTGAAGTCTCTGAATTTTTATCAAGTTTAGTCCTTAAATCAGATAAAATAATTATTGTAGGTGATTTTAATATTCATGTGGATGTTAACAATGACAGCCTTAGTAATGCATTTATATCATTAATAGACTCAATTGGCTTCTGTCAGAGTGTAAATAAACCAACTCATTGTTTTAATCACACTCTTGACCTTGTTCTATCATATGGCATTGATATTGAACATTTAATAGTCTTCCCACATAATCCTTTCCTATCTGACCATTATTTAATAACTTTTGAATTCATATTATTAGATTATAAGCCATTAGGCAAAACTTCCTACAGCAGATGTCTATCTGACAGTGCTGTAGCTAAATTTAAGGAGGAGATTCCTTCAGTGTTTAATTCAATGCCATGTCTGAATTTAACAGAATCCTATAACGACTTTAGTCCCTCTGAAATTGATAATCTTGTTGATAGTGCTGCAGGCTCACTACGATCAACATTAGACTCTATCGCTCCTATAAAAAGGAAATTATTAAAACATAGGAGACTAGCACCGTGGTACAATCACCAAACCCGCCAGTTAAAACAAATAGCTAGGAAATCTGAAAGGAAATGGCGCTCTTCCAAATTATCAGAATATCGCTCAATTTGGCAAGAAAATCTTAAAACTTATAGAAAGGCCCTCCGTAATGCCAGAGGAGCCTATTACTCAGCACTAATAGAAGAAAATAAGAACAACCCTAGGTTCCTCTTCAGCACTGTAGCCAGGCTGACAGAGAGTCACAGCTCTATTGAGCCACATATCCCCATAAACTTAAGTAGCAATGACTTCATGAGCTTCTTCTATAATAAAATTATTACTATTAGAGAGAAAATTAATCACCAACTGCCATCAACAGTTATCAGTGGCTCTCCAAGTTCAGGGACTTTTGCTAATGTAAACTTAGATATATATTTAGACTGTTTTTCTGCTATCGATCTTCATCAGTTAACTTCAATCATTTCTTCATCGAAGCCATCAACCTGTCTATTAGACCGATCCCCTGCTTAAAGAAGTTGTTCCCTTAATTGGCACTTCTTTACTGGATATGATTAATCTTTCTTTATTATCAGGATATGTACCACAGTCCTTTAAAGTAGCTGTAATTAAACCCCTTCTTAAAAAGTCCACTCTTGACCCAGGGGTTTTAGCTAACTATAGACCAATCTCTAACCTCCCCTTCCTCTCTAAGATTCTGGAGAAAGTAGTCGCCAAAGAGTTGTGTGACTTTCTACATAACAATAGTTTATTTGAGGATTATCAGTCAGGATTTAGAGTTCATCATAGCACAGAGACAGCTCTGGTTAAAGTTAATAATGACCTTCTGATTGCTTCTGACAATGGACTTGTCTCTGTACTTGTATTATTAGATCTTAGTGCTGCATTTGACACCATTGACCATAATATTCTTTTACAGAGACTTGAGCATCAAATTGGCATTAAAGGAACCGCACTAAGCTGGTTTAAGTCATATTTATCAGATCGTTCGCAGTTTGTACATGTTAACGATGAATCTTCAATAAATACTACAGTTAGTCATGGAGTTCCACAAGGTTCTGTACTTGGACCAATACTATTTACTATATATATGCTCCCTTTAGGCAACATTATTAGGAATCACTTTCACTGTTATGCAGATGATACGCAGTTATATCTATCGATCAAGCCCGATGAAATTAATCAATTATCTAAATTACAAACATGTCTTAAGGACATCAAATCCTAGATGAGCCGCAATTTTCTGATGTGAAACTCAGAAAAAAACGAAATTCTTGTTCTTGGCCCCAAAAACCTTAGAGACTCACTGTCTAAAGATATAGTTACTCTAGATGGCATTACCTTGGCCTCTAGCACCACTGTCAGGAATCTTGGAGTTATCTTTGATCAGGATTTGTCATTTAACTCCCACATAAAGCAGACCTCTAGGACTGCCTTCTTTCATTTACGTAATATTACAAAAATTAGACACATCCTATCACAGACAGATGCAGAAAAACTAATCCATGCATTTGTTACTTCAAGGCTGGATTACTGCAACTCTTTATTATCAGGTTGCCCCAATAAGTCCATTAAAACGCTCCAATTAATTCAGAACGCTGCAGCACGAGTACTGACAGGAACTAGAAAAAGAGATCACATCTCTCCTGTACTAGCTTCTCTGCACTGGCTCCCTGTAAAATTTAGAATAGAATTTAAAATCCTCCTCCTCACCTATAAAGCTCTTCATGGTCAGGCCCCTTCATATCTTAAAGAGCTCATAGTACCCTATTACCCCTCTAGAACAATATGTTCTCTGAATGCTGGGCTACTTGTGGTTCCTATAGTCTCTAAAAGTAGAACAGGAGCCAGAGCCTTCAGTTACCAAGCTCCTCTCCTGTGGAACCAGCTTCCAGTTGTGGTTCGGGAGGCAGACACCCTCACCACATTCAAGAGTAGGCTTAAGACATTCCTCTTTGATAAAGCTTATAGTTAGGGCTGGATCAGGTGAGTCCTGAACCATCCCTTAGTTATGCTGCTATAGGCCTAGACTATCGGGGGATTTCCCATGGTGCACTGAGCTCCTCTCTTCCGCTCTCTTTCTGCACTCATTCATGTCCCATTAATGCATGTTACTAACTTCACTTCTTCCCCGGAGTTCTTGTGCTTTCTCGTCTCGCAGGTTCTTATCGATCCTGGTGGAGCCTCCTGCCATGGTCCTGCTAGATTGCCATTGCCAATACTGTTGTTGCTGTGCACCTGTCCGTCTGTCTCTCGCTCTCTCTGTCTCTCTCTGTCTCTCTCTCTCTCTCTCTTTCACCCCAACTGGTCGAGGCAGACGACCACCCACCTAGAGCAGAAGGATCTGTCCTAGGTTTCTGCCTTTTAACAGGCAGTTTTTCCTTGCCCTTGTCGCCAAGTGCTTGCTCATGGTGGTACTGTTGGGTCTCTGTAATTAATGTTTTAAAGAGTTCGGTCTAGACCTACTCTATTTGAAAAGTGTCCTGAGATAACTTGGCGCTATACAAATAAAATTGAATTGAATTGAATTGAATTGAATTAGCCGCTATGTTGTAAAAGTACTGACGCACGCACGTTTTTTGTACATTACACATATTACCAGAGTCCGGTTAATATGTTTGAATTCCCCTATATATATATACATATATAATATTGTTTGATTGTGTGTTTAATATTGCGGACGGGCTCTGCACCCGACGATATTTACGTTTATTATAGTTGCTGTGTATTACATTGCAATGATGTGGTCTGAGGCGCCCCCGCGCGGCCATTACGGAGTGTCATTCCGACCTCATATTATTTTTACTGTAGTACTGTGTATCTGTTTAGTTCAGTCATATTGCTTTATTTCGTTAAAATAATAATATATTTGCCGTTTATTTATTTTGTATAATTCAGGAAAACACAACAAGACACATCGTGTACGTTGTTCATGTGAGGAATTAATAAAGAAGGAAACGTAATTCTCTGGAGTAGCTGCAGTTTTTTTTACCGGAAACTAAGGCCAGACTGTGTACGCCAGCATCCAAAATATAATCTATAGTACAGTCTTCAGTTGGCCCCAAAATGAATGTGTTTGATGAGAGTCTTGGCCTGAAAACATTTACTTGCCAATATTCAGTCATAGTCACAGTGTCACCTACTGGAAACAGGAAGTAAGCTTTGTATGGCAATCTTCATCTGATTTACGTGTGATATACTGGCGCACAATGCGACCGCGGCACTCCCCGACGTACACAGACTGCAGCTTTAACTGAAGTTGAATCCAATGGTACCAAGTATTTGATATAACTCCTTATAGTTTTTGAGATTCAGCCATTTCTGTATTTAGTCGTTAGTCACAAAGGGTTAAGCAAAATATGTATGAAATAAACAAAATCCTTAGTTACAAAATTACGGCGGCCCTTAAGGGACATGGGGGAGAAAAAAACACTTTTGCATAGAGAAATATTTGTTAAAAAATAACTTCTGGAAGCAGCAAACCAAAGCAATGGAGAGGCTCATAGCTGAGACATTACGTCAGTGCTTGGTTCTAGTCATGGTTTTCAAATCAGTGAAAGACAGCCGAAGAGGACTGTTGGTGAAAGGGAGATATTCTCGGAGGAAAAAGTACTCGAACTCTGACATAATGTCTTTATATTTGAGTCCAAGGTCAGAATGAAACTCTGTGAAACTCTCCGTAGCTTTGGTTTGCCATTTCCCAAACAACAATGACCTTTGGGTTTTACTTTAAAGAGCTTTTTTACACTCCAAATATTTATCGCAGGGACACAAAACTAAACCCATGTCCCCCTAAGGGGCTTCATACAAAGCAAGCAAAAATAAGCAAAATCCTTAATTAAGAACGTTAACAAAATTGATCTGAAATAACTAAAATAAACAAACAAAAACAAAATTCACACAAAATAAGTAAAATTCTTAATTGTAAAACTAACCAACATCCTTAAAGCTAGGGTAGGTATTTCAGAAGAATCTTTTTGTTGTATTTGTTGAAATTCTTTTTACATCCCGACAACAATGAATCAATAAAATGCTCTGAGAGACAATCTGGTCTCTGTGGCTGCTGTAATGAGCTCAGCCAGTGATTGGATTCGGTCTGAATGAAATGATTGTTAATGATGCAGCAGTCGGCCACTATGTGTTCATGTGTTTTCAGGGAGTGGTTTTGGAGGGAGGCCTGAAGGGAACAGGTGGGATTTATGTTTTCACGTGGATCTTTGTCTAACGTTATCTACCCGAGCTTTAATCACAGTAAAACTTGTATGAAATGAGCAAAATCCTTAAAGGTTCAGTGTGAAGGGATTTGGTGATATCTAATGGTGAAATTGGAGAATGCAACCAACTGAATACAGCTCGCCTTCCAAATGTGAAGGGGAACCTACGTTGACTGGGAAAAATGCAAACTCCCCTATCTAGAGTCAGTGTTTGGTTTGTCCGTTCGGGGCTACCGTAGGAACATGGCGGACTCCGCCAGAAGAGGACCCGCACCCTCTGTAGATAAAAACGTCTCATTCTAAGGTAACAAAAGCACAACGATTCTTATTTTCAGGTGATTAAACACTGATGAAAACATACCGATGAATATTATATTCCATTTGTGACAATAGATCCTCCTCAATGTTTCACTCTGGACCTTTAAACTACATTTGAACCAAAGAAGCAAAATCCCTGATCACAACATTTAGTAAAATTCATACAAAATAAACAAAATCTGTAATTCCAAAAGTAAGCAAAATCATTATCTACAAAAGTCGGTTAAATTGGTACAACATAGAATCAAGATGAATTGGTATGAAATAAGCAAATCTGTAACTGTAAAAAATTAGCAAAAATACTTATAAATGTAAGCAAAATTCTTAATCACAAAATTAAGTGACACTGGTGTTGGGATCCAAGGATACCTTTAAATATGAACTTGTTCATTGGAGGAGTTTAACTGAAACACAAAGGAACATGTTGGATCTGACCATGTGCTCAGAAACTAAGGAATTCTCCTGAGGCCTGTATGTAAGCCATAAAACCTTTCTTGTAGTAGTCTAAAGACAAAGTGAACACGCCCGCCAGATAACAGACCCCTCTGTGGGGGGGTCCCGGAATGCGGCCAGGGTGTGTCATAAAGGCAATAAATGGCCAAACACCAGCCTTTCATTGGTCAAGATCCCCTCTGACACCAGACCTGTCATCACGGCTATTTAAGCCAGAGAGATGATATTCTCTCTCCTCTTCTCTTCGGCTCTTCTCTTCTACCTTCGCTCCTGCTCACACACCCACACCGGGTGATAAGTTCTGGACCTTGGCCTGACCCGCCGCCGACGCATGACAATAGGATTATAGCACGGCACAAAAGCCAGCTCCTGCGATACCTGCACCAGCGGACATCGCATAGCAGAGACAGTTTGGACTTCAGAACCACAATTCTGATCAGCCTGGCTCACAGGCCTGCGGGCTGACCCATGCAGCTCACCAGCAACTCTTTTTCATCTCCATTGGAATGTTGGTAACGTACTGGGCATGGACAGACAACTTAACAGAGTTAACGGATAAACAAGGACTGTTGAATCATTGTTAATGTTGCTGATGTGTTTTATTCAGGTTACTGTGGTATTGTGATGTTGATTTGATTAACTGAGGTTACTGTAGTAACTGTAGTCTTTGAGACAGTGCTAAGGTGATGTTAGTTTAATGCTTCACACAGACATCGTCTTTGCATACACTTCCTCCCTTTTTAAGGCACCGTTAAGCGCCCGGTATACTCACCGCAGACCAACTGTCACGCGACAACGTGATGTCACGGGAACACCGTGACTATATATACGCTTGCGCGTGGTGGTCGAGGCACTAGTTGCAGTCTTCTCTGGAACAGAGGTGTCGCTAGTGAGGAGAGGCTACCGACTTTGCTATTTCTACGCACTAGAAGAAGAAAAAGGTAAACAATGGCAGAAATGGCATCAGTTTCAACATTGCCTAGGATGATACTGGAGTCACTGGATGAGGAAGAAGAGCTGCTTTTGAGCCTGCTTGCAAAGAAGCGAAGAAAACAAAGGTGGAATGTTCGTCCTTTGTATCACGCCAGACATAAAATAAAAATAAAAAATAAAATATGGTGAGTTCAATCTCGTCGTGAAACCAATGAGGATGATAGACGAAGAGAAGCACTTTGAGTACTTCAGAATGTCTGCACACCGATTCGATGACCTACTTCGTCGGATCAAGCCTTTCATTCACCATAACAGAACTTCCCCAACTGCTTAGGGTGCATCGATGGAAAGCATGTCACAATCAAAGCCCCAGCAAACGCTGGAAGTGACTACTTCAACTACAAAGGTGCAAATTCCATCGTGCTTATGGCCGTGTGCGATGCAAGATATCGTTTCACCATGGTGGATGTTGGTGCTTTCGGCCGTGAGAGTGATGGGGGGATTTTACAAAGCAGTGAGTTTGGCGCTGGTCTTTTGCAGAACACCCTTTAACTGCCACAGCCTGTGCACTTGCCAGGGACCAACACCAGCCTGCCCCATGTGTTCCTGGGAGATGCTGCTTTCCCTCTAAATGTGAACTTGATGCGGCCATATCCAGGTAATTTAATAGCATAATGTTTCCATGTAATACTAATTTCAGTAATGTAACATTAATATTTGGGTTCAGCTCACTGTAATTGAAAAATCCTTATTTTCAACTATTGCAGGTGTCAATCTGGATGATGCTAGGAAAATCTACAACTACCGCCACTCAAGGGCCCTCAGGGTCATTGAGAACAGCTTTGGCATCTTGGCTGCACGCTGGAGGATTTTCCAGAAACCCATAGAGTGAAGGCATGTGTTGCTCTTCACAACATGCTTACACACACAGATGCTGCACTGACTCCAACTTGCAGATACATCCCACCAAACTTCGTGCATACCACATCACCATCAGGTGAAGTTCGCCAGGTGAATGGAGGAGGGTTGTTGCAGATGACACCAACATGAGAGCTGCACCAAGAATGTCTACCGCACGTGCATCCCGTGCGGCAAGTGCAGTGAGGGAGGACCTCAAGACATTCTTTCAGACACAGCAAGGACTTGTTCAGTCATTTGGAGAGGTTGCCTGAACTGATTCCATCTTGTGTTGAACACTGTAATACAGTTGTAATAAGAGTGAGTTTAGTTGTACTTATTTTATTTCAACTAACTGCGCAGTGCGTATTGTTGTACATTATATATACCTACGTTAACTGTCATTTTTGTGGTATTGCTGCATTTAGTTACTGTTGTACTTTATTTTATGTTAGCTTTATCCTATTGTGCTTTGCACTTTGCTGTATTTAGCTACTTGTTTTATTTTTATGGTAGTTTGTATCGATTTGCACAGCAATTTCCCTCGGGATAAATAAAGTTTCTTAAATCTTGAATTGAATCTGTGTCTTTAATGTCTTACACATCATTAGACATTCAGTTAAGGTTTAGTTCACCAGGATGTCTCTCATACAGCAATATGGCTGTCTATTATTCCACTGGCACACCTGGTCAGCCATCAACATTCCAGAGTGTATGTTTGTAAGTGTCTATCTTATCTGTCTCTGTTTTTATAACTTTATAACCGCATTGAGCATTATGTCACGCTAGTTTTTCAGCCACGTAATTTCACTCATCTTTGACCACAACAACAGCAGACAACACCTATGTAAAACCACGGTTTATTAGCAGACAACAGATAAACAATAATATAACACTTAACAATATGGTAAAATAAAAATAAGACAATGCTTAAGAGAAAAAATATATGCCTACACAATAAAATATAAAATATAAAGAAAGAATGCTTATAAGATGTGCTAATAGCAATTAAGGTGCATTAAAATGTGCATCAAAGTTCACCAAAGTTCACACATTCATTTTGGGTGCTGCTGGGTGTGCTCTAACATTGTCTGTAGCAGTTTCTGCTTCAGCCAGTCATGCACCTGTGGATCCACACCCTCCATCAAGTCCGCAAGGACTTTGAAAAAAACCCACGTAGGAGACGCTGCAAGCCTGTCCTGGTTCTCTTGGTATTCAGCCCACATCTTCTCCCTGTGCTCCCTGAGAAGTGCAAGATGTGCTACCACCACAGAGTCATCCTGTGCCACCCGTCTCTTCCTCCTTCTTGGGGTACTCACAGAGAGAGTTGAAGAGGATGCCACCGCTGTCGGAACAGCATGGGTGATGGGGGAAACTGGGGTGGCGAGGGGTGGTAAAGTCGACCGGCACGGTGAGGAGGATCTCGCCAATTCGGTGGAGTCTGTGGTCTCTGTGGTCCAGGCTCCCGAATCTGACTGTGAAAAACCACACAGTGCCATAGATGCCGAGCCACACAGCTGCGAAGCCTCGGCCGCTTGGCCAAGAATCTGTGAAGCTTCGGTCGCTTGGCTGCACGTCTGGATTGATGTAAAAATAACAACATTAATATATAGGCATTCAACATTCAGGTTTAACAAATCTTAATTTAAACGTTAGGCTATTCAAAGTTTAGAAAAAATTCCGGCACGAGCAAATTAATGCAGATTTTATCCCAGCTGATTGAACCAAGAATAATGAAAACAAACATGTTACCTGAATATTAGTTGTGGTCAGCCTGTGCTTTACAAAATTGTGTAGCCATGAAAGCTCCTGCAGGATAGGTGCTGGCCTGTGTCCTCCTGCAGCACCGCTTCTTGCAGCTGCCTGCGACCTCTTTTTCGATTTTCCAAATCGGTCGCGGAGGTTTTTCCACATTTTCCGGAATATAGCCTCCTCTCTTCCAACATTCATGGCGATTTCTCGCCATGAATTCTGGCACCTCTGGGCATCCCTGTGTTCCTTCATTGCAGGATCGTACAGATGCCTGTAGAGGCGCACTTGCTCGGAAAGCTTGCCCTCGAACTCATCCATCTTCCCGTTTCCGGCTGTGGCGACACGGCGCGACTGGGATAAAATCCTTGCGCGCCAGCGAGATCTATGTCATTTTGACGTCACGTTGTTGCGCAACAGCTCGACTGCGTCGAGTATACCAGGCGCTTTAATCTAAAAATCACACACACATTCGGTCTAAGTACATACACTTGGAGAGGGATTCAAAACCTCCCGCCTCTCATTCTCTCTGCCTCTCACCATCCTGTGTTTCACACCCTGAAACATCTGGTCGGACGACACAGGACATAAGCCTTTTATGACCCCCATACACACACACACACACACACACACACACCCACACACACACACCCACACACACCGCTTTAGTTATTTTAAGTTAGATTGTATGTTGTGTATTTTTCCTCTGCTTTTATTATATCCGGGTTAATAAATGTTTGTGTTTACATATACCAACCTCTTCTATGTAGAACTCCAAAGCTCCCACTCTAGCTATTATTAATGATTTTGGTTGTAATTATTAATTTAATTATTGACTGTCTCTCTGACTGACTTCTGAATTAATAGTTTAGAGTAATTTTTGTGAGACTGATCAATTGATTATTGGTTATCATTCTCTTATTTAAGGGTGTTGCCCCGAGGAACTTTAAAATTAATTAAAGTAATTTCCTATTATCTTTCGATAATTATAATTTGGATAACCATTAATTGATTAAACCAATACAGTTAGACCACTCTAACACCCTACGTCGTAGAGCCCGACACTGGTACAAAATAAGTAAAATCCTGTATAAAATTAAATTTATGAAATACTCAAAATCCTTAATTGTAAAAACTAAAAATCCTGAATTACTAAAAGAGGAGGAAATCTTGCTCACAAGATAAAATAAAAAACCCATGTCAACCACAAGGGAGCGCTAAAGTTATAAAGTTCATATCTCATTAACACGATGAAAGTGGTTTCAAACAGCCTTTGTTAATTCACTGTAATCTTTTTAAACAGATTCTCCCAATCGCAGCAGATTTGTTCCACCAACCCTGGATGTGGTCTAGATCTACAGATCCAACAGCAGGTGGTCCTGAACAGGTTTCTGCTCTTATCTCAGGATTCAGTTGTTCAAACGTCACCAAATGTGATCGAGTATTGTAACACCAGATTTAATTCAATTCAATTCAATTCAATTCAATTCAATTTTATTTGTATAGCGCCAATTCATAACAGAAGTTATCTCAGGACACTTTTCAAATAGAGCAGGTCTAGACCGAACTCTTTAAAACATTAATTACAGAGACCCAACAGTACCACCATGAGCAAGACCTTGGCGACAAGGGCAAGGAAAAACTGCCTGTTAAAAGGCAGAAACCTAGGACAGATCCTCCGGCTCTAGGTGGGTGGTCGTCTGTCTCGACCAGTTGGGGTGAGAGAGAGAGAGAGAGAGAGAGAGAGAGAGAGAGAGAGAGAGAGAGAGAGAGGCAGAGAGAGAGAGAGCGAGAGACAGAGAGACAGGTGCACAGCAACAACAGTATTGGCAATGGCTAGCAGGACCATGGCAGGAGGCTCCACCAGGATCTGATAAATATGACTTAAACCAGCTTAGTGCGGTTCCTTTAATGCCAATTTGATGCTCAAGTCTCTGTAAAAGAATATTATGGTCAATGGTGTCAAATGCAGCACTAAGATCTAATAATACAAGTACAGAAACAAGTCCATTGTCAGAAGCAATCAGAAGGTCATTATTAACTTTAACCAGAGCTGTCTCTGTGCTGTGATGAACTCTAAATCCTGACTGAAAATCCTCAAATAAACTATTGTTATGTAGAAAGTCACACAACTCTTTGGCGACTACTTTCTCCAGAATCTTAGAGAGGAAGGGGAGGTTAGAAATCGGTCTATAGTTGGCTAAAACCCCTGGGTCAAGAGTGGACTTTTTAAGAAGGGGTTTAATTACAGCTACTTTAAAGGACTGTGGTACATATCCTGATAATAAAGAAAGATTAATCATATCCAGTAAAGAAGTGCCAATTAAGGGAACAACTTCTTTAAGCAGCCTAGTTGGGATCGGGTCTAATAGACAGGTTGATGGCTTCGATGAAGAAATGATTGAAGTTAACTGATGAAGATCGATAGCAGAAAAACAGTCTAAATATACATCTAAGTTTACATTGACAGAAGTCCCTGAACTTGGAGAGCCACTGATAACTGTTGATGGCAGTTGGTGATTAATTTTCTCTCTAATAGTAATCATTTTATTATAGAAGAAGCTCATGAAGTCATTGCTACTTAAGTTTATGGGGATATGTGGCTCAATAGAGCTGTGACTCTCTGTCAGCCTGGCTACAGTGCTGAAGAGGAACCTAGGGTTATTCTTATTTTCTTCTATTAGTGCTGAGTAATAGGCTCCTCTGGCATTACGGAGGGCCTTTCTATAGGTTTTAAGATTATCATGCCAAATTGAACGATATTCTGATCATTTGGAAGAGCGCCATTTCCTTTCAGATTTCCTAGCTATTTGCTTTAACTGGCGGGTTTGGTGGTTATACCAAGGTGCTAGTCTCCTATGTTTTAATAATTTCCTTTTTATAGGAGCGATAGAGTCTAATGTTGATCGTAGTGAGCCTGTAGCACTATCGACAAGATTATCAATTTCAGAGGGACTAAAGTCGTTATAGGACTCTGTTAAATTCAGACATGGCATTGAATTAAACACTGAAGGAATCTCCTCCTTAAATTTAGCTACAGCACTGTCAGATAGACATCTGCTGTAGGAAGTTTTGCCTAATGGCTTATAATCTAATAGTATGAATTCAAAAGTTATTAAATAATGGTCAGATAGGAAAGGATTATGTGGGAAAACTATTAGAGGATATATGACAGTGTTTCACTTTGATTTTAACTGAGTAGATAACATCACTGGGCCAACATTGTTCCAAAATGACTCCCAAATCCCCGACCAGCCTGGGTCTTCATAACTTTAGAATCGGACCATCGACCGGTTCATGGTACATTCAGATCGATCCAGGGGTCCGCGTACCGATGTCGTCGAATCGATAACATTAAAACTGATTTCTGAATGTGTAAATCTTTACAGCCCGAGAGCTCAGTATCTCTGCTTTCAATATTTGTGAGGTGTTTTTAAAGAGTTACGTCTTCAATAGGAACAAACAGGGTTGGTTTTGGTCTTTTCATGCTCAGAGTAATAAAAATATAATGTGATATAATAATTCCAGCCAACATGAGGATAAAAATGTAAAATCCTTGACTGAGCTGATGGCTGTGTGTCAGCTGTGAAATCCATGTGGATGTGAGAGGAGCTCCTTGGAGGACCTACTCTGCTCCCTGAGCTCCTTCCTCTTCAGTCGGCCCTCCTCCAGCTGCAGGAACACCCAGGTTATAATCATCCAGCTCAATGTTCTCCTGTCTGCCCGGCTTCTGCCCCCTGCAGGCCTGGAGAGACACGACAGCATGAGTCCCCTCTACAGTTCAATAAACAGACAGAGTGCTTCATTTCAGTCAGTCCTCTAAACAACAGACAGTGTCAGTACCTTACAGCAGCAACAGAGGGCAGTGTTCACCAACAGCAGAGTCAGCAGCAGGAGGACCACTCTGATGAAGTGATGATGAACTGATGGATCTGATCAAACACAAGGACAGTCATCACATCACAAGGTGTTTTCTCCCAGAATCTGTTCAGTGAACTGTTATCTGACCACACATCCTGTCTGCATTGTTCTCCAAACTAAGTTAGCATAGCCCCGATCAACCAAACTCCATTCAGAAAACAAACATTTCAAAAGTTATTTGCTTGTGGTCTTGCAGACAGACCCGACTAAATAACTTGAGCTTATGTAGTTATTTCAGCATCTTTTTGATCCGTTTATTGCAATTAAATCACAGCAAATTGTGTTTACTCTGTAAATATGGTGAACAGTGAAATACCTCAGTCAGTAACCAAACATGATCTGTCCTACAGTATGTTGTTTGCTGTTGACATTTACACACTTATATAAGTTTGGACACTATATGACATGTGTAACACAATGACAGTAGTCTCTGTTGTCAGCTGATCATCTTTCCAAAGCTGCATGTAAACAGTCAGTGAGACAGTTTCTCTGCTTCAGCTTACCTGAGACAGTGAGAGAGAGCAGACGGCTCTCAGAGGAGAAGTTATGAGAGAAAACATAGACGTGATAAACACAGCTGTAGTTTCCTTGGTGGGCGGGCTCTGCAGCAGGAAACAGGAAGTGGGCAGAGTGATTGACAGCTGGCTGGGTGTAGTTGTGCGTTGTGTTGGAGGAGGTGAAGGTGAGCTGGAAGGAGCCTCCTGGGTACTGTGGCTGGATGGAGCAGCTGATGGTGAAGGTGGAGCCCCTGAGCACCCGAAACTCCTGCTGCTGGGCCTCAGAGACCCCGTACGTGGAGGAGGACACAGAGATGTTGGGCCGAACCAGCAGGTCTGTAAATGAGATGAGATGATGAAAGGTTGCATTGATGATGTGATAGATAGATACTTTATTTATCCCGAGGGAAATTCAAGTATCCAGTAGCATACAAAATACAAAACCAACATTAAACATACATTAGACTAAAATTAAAATCCCTAACCTTAAGAATAGAATTAAAAATAAAATATCAGATAAAATGTAAAGTAATATATATATATACAAAAAATGAACAGTAGCTACAGTAAACGGTGCAAACAGTAAACAGTGCAAATGGAAGTAAAACAGTGCAAATGGATGTGCAAATACAGGTAGAAATTGTCCATTGTTAATTATCTATTGTCCTCCCTGCCTTTACTGAGAGCTGTTGTACATTCTGATGGCCAGGGGGACGAAAGAGTTTGAGTCTGTTGGTGGAGCTGCTGGGACAGCAGTCTGCCACTGAACACACTCCTCTGCCTGGTGAAGATGTTGTGCAGAGGGTGGTGGGTGTTGTCCAGTATGGACAGCAGTTTGTCCAGGGTCCTTCTCTCTGCCACTGTCACCAGAGAGTCCAGCTCTGTGCCCACTACTGAGCCAGCTCTCCTCACCAGTCTGTCCAGTCAACCGGTGTCTCTTCTTGCTGATTCCTCCCCATCAAAAAATAAACATCTGCAGCAGATTTTTACAGATGTTGAAGGACCCCAGCCTTCTCAGGAAGTACAGCCGGCTCTGCCCTTTCCTGTGTAAAGTGTCCATATTTTCTGTCCAGTCCAGCTTGTCGTCCAGCTGCAGCCCCAGATATTTATAGGTCCTGACCACCTCCACATCGACCCCCTCGATGGACACGGGTTGGAGATGTGGTTTCTTCCTTTTGAAGTCCACCACCATCTCCTTGGTCTTGGATGTATTCAGCTGCAGATGGTTGGACCTGCACCACCTCACAAAGTCCTCGACCAGGCTCCTGTACTCCCCCTCAATTCAATTCAATTTTATTTGTATAGCGCCAATTCATAACAGAAGTTATCTCAGGACACTTTTCAAATAGAGCAGGTCTAGACCGAACTGTTTAAAACATTAATTACAGAGCCCCAACAGTACCACCATGAGCAAGCACTTGGCGACAAGGGCAAGGAAAAACTGCCTGTTAAAAGGCAGAAACCTAGGACAGATCCTTCGGCTCTAGGTGGGTGGTCGTCTGTCTCGACCAGTTGGGGTGGGTGAGAGAGAGAGAGAGACAGAGACAGAGACAGAGAGAGCGAGAGATAGACAGACAGGTGCACAGCAACAACAGTATTGGCAGTGGCAATCTAGCAGGACCATGGCAGGAGGCTCCACCTGGATCGATAAGACCCTCCCGTCCATCCTTGATACAGCCGACTGTCGCAGTATCATCAGAGTATTTCTGCATGTGGAAGAGCCCAGAGTTGTACTGGAAGTCAGATGTGTACACGGTAAAAAGGACGGGAGAGAGCACAGTTCCCTGTGGTGCTCCGGTGCTGCTGACCACAGTGTCTGACGTGCAGCCCTTCAGTCTGACGTACTGTGGTCTCTCCATGAGGTAGTCCGTAATCCATGTCACCAGGAGTGTGTCCACAGTGATCTCTGTCAGCTTGTCTCTCAGCAGGAGCGGCCGGATGGTGTTGAAGGCACTGGAGAAATCAAAAAACGCGATTCTCACAGCGCCGCTCTCCTTTTCCAGATGAGAGTGGGCCCTATGGAGCAGATAGAGGATGGCATCCTCCACGCCCCCATCTTCTCCTGGTATCCAAACTGCAGTGGATCTTGTGCGTGGTGGACCTGGGGTCTGAGGACATGGAACAGCAGCTGTTCAAAGGTCTTCATTATGTGTGACGTCAGTGCTACTGGTCTGAAAGTCACCCGGCTCCCTGGGGTGTTTTGTTTTAGGAACCGGAATGAGACCTGAAGTCGTCCAGAGCACTGGGACCCTCCCCAGCTACAGGCTCAGGTTGAAGACATGCTGGAGTGGCTCCCCCAGTTCAGCAGAACAGGCTTTAAGCATCCTTGGACACACTCTGTCCGGGCCCGCTGCTTTCCTTGGACGAAGCCTCCTCAGCTCTCTGCTCACCTGATCCTTGGTGATGGTGGTGGGTTGAACTGTCCATGGGTGTGGAGGGTGGGGGTGGTCTGCAGTCTGAGGTGGTGGAATTGGGGGAGGTGAAGGACATGGTGGGGGTGTGAAGTGGGTTGTCCTTGGTTGTGGGAGTTGGAGTATCAAACCTGTTAAAAAACAGGTTTAGCTGGTTTGCTCTTCCAGCATCCCCCTCTCCTGTGATGTTGCCCTTCTTCTTGCAGCCTGTGATGGTTTTCATGCCATCCCAGACCTCCCTCATGTTATTATGCTGCAGCTTCTGTTCTACCTACCTTCTGTAGTCCTCCTTCGCCTCTCTCAGGTGAATGTCACTGGACTGATATCAGTAAGAAACATGGAGCAGACGGATGACAGACTTTAAACACAAAGACAGACAGACAGACAGACAGACAGACAGACACAAGCCCACTTCTGACTTCAGGATGTCATGTTCATGTCATATATGATGTAAGATGATGTCACTGATGGGCTTACCTGAACAGGTAAGATTCAGGATGGAGGAAGAGGAACCTGATATTGCACACTCCCTCAGAGAAGATCCAGACTGAACACAGTCAGAGTCGATCCACCACACAGGTCTGCCTAAAAACTCCTTTCTCTCTACTACAGAAACAGCAGAACCACAGTCCAGATTTCTACAGACAACATTTGCATCCTTCATGGTCCAGCCGAAGCCAACCACTGGTCTCCAGTCTACAATATGTTTCAGCTCCAATGTTCCTGCACAGCGACTGTCTCCTCCCTCCAACCTGACCTCCTCAGACTCTGAACAGAAACAAGAGAGTCATCAGTAAAAGAATAAAGTGAGTTTCATCAGAACAGAAATGAACCAATCAGAGCTGCAGCTCCTCTTCTACCTGAGCAGGTGAGTCCAACAGCTTTTCCAGGTGAGCAGGTGTTTCTAGCTGAGCCTGAGCTTCTACAGTCCAGGAGAGCAGACTCATGGCCTCCACACTGGAACTCTTTGGTCCACATTGGAGCCTCCACTTCTCCATAGAGCGCCCCCTGGAGGACTGAAGGAGCCCCACAGCCGAGCTCCCTACAGACCACCTCTGCATCCTGCTGGTCAAAGTCATCTTCACACACTGAGGACCACCACTGGTTAGACTGGTCAGACTTCACCTCCAGTCTGCCTGAGCACAGACTAGTCCCATCCACCAGCCTGACAGAGTCTGGACAGATAATAGAAGATAAAGTAGAGAGAGAGAAAATACACCAGACACAAATAAAAAGATGTCATCAATCATCATAATATAATGTTATTTTAACATTACAAACATTGGCCTTAAACACACACACACACACACACACACACACACACACACACACACACACACATTTACACTAGAGGATGCTGGTCCGTAGAGGCAGGGGAGGTTGCTCCTCATCTATTGTTGAGAGGAAAGAGGGAGATCAAACTATAAAAAGAGTAACTGGTTAAAATAAACAATGACCAAATCTCAGTATAATTTATAAAATCATATTTCTCTCTGCTTTGGATGAAAACAATTGTTCAAATTATGATTAAAATGCTTCAACAGCGACACCTGCAGGACACCCCTAGTGTTTTTAAGGAAAGTGCAGCTGCTGTTTCAGTGTGGGTATTTACCAATGGTGCTGGGATCATTACTGTCATATTTCCTTTGTAGCAGAGAAATAGAGCTGCTGTGTTTGAACTACTTTGTTGAGGATAACTGCCAATTTTGATTCAAGCCTGCTTCTTGTTACATCTCACAACCTTTCAATAGGGAAAGACCTTATTTTGGAGTGGACAAATATATTTAGATGATATGTGCTCAGTGAAGATTAGAAATGTGAAAAGTCTTTGGCGATTAGACCTCATCATAAAGTCATCGTATTTGAGGGGGTTGGTGGAGCTGTGATTAGTATAGGGAACCCACAAAACAATAGAAAAGAATGAGAAAGGAACAACGAACCAGGTAAAAATGCTTCAATCCTACCGTACCAGACAGCAGGGGATCACTTAAAATATGTAATATGTAACAGGAACATATAGCTGGAAGTAAATGATTGTACAATAATGCCATACTGAGGTTGTATTGACCATGACGTGGCAAATGAGATCGGACTAAATTACAACAAGCCGGCAAATGTAAAGGAGTGTTTTCACAGAGGAAATGTGAGCTTGATACTAGAAGAAAATGAGGTCAATTATATGAAATAATGATTAAGATCAGTATGTAACATAATGGAAAGTTCATAGGACCAAACAGAAATATATAAAAAAAAATATTATAATACCAAGTAGAAATTAAAGTCAGCAGTGACAAACTGAAAATGCAGATTTGTTGCATGAGGTCAGGGAGACCATAGGTGTAGCAAGTGGAACCTAATAAAAGGTCATAAGACCGAACAACACCAACTTAAATAAAATGGAAAACAGAACTTAACGTCTGACAACTAAACAGAAATTAAAGTCGGAGATCGCAAACAAAAGTTAGGATCCGACAACCAAACTGAAAACAGTGAGTTTGTTGGGTCGAGGTCCTGCACACAGAGAAATAGGGGAATCATTTCTGTACCCAAAGGTACATTTGTTACAAAAGTCCCGTCTAAGGCACGAAAAAGGTCCTTAAGGTGATAAATGTGGACCTTTGTTTAATTTTAAAGGTACAAAATCATGGCTGACAGAAAGGGGAACAGAATTGTAACAAGCTTAAGGTAGAGGAAAATGTTTCAGCAAATCAGTGATCACAAAATCTTGATTTAAATAGAGAGTTGGGCTGACTGAAATAAAATAGGTTACTAGTAAATTTCCATTCAATTATTGGTCTGTGTGGCCTGGGAATAATTTCATGAACCAAAGAACTAGGACAGCACTTCCATTCAACTTTTTTAATTTTGCCACAAGGACGTTTCAGCGTGTATTGGCAAGTTCACAGTGGATCTATTTGAGTGATTTTGTTCATTTAATCCCGTAGCTAATTGTCAGTGTAGCAGAGTGGAATGCTTCCAGTACCCATTACCATTACTCACAATTTTATTTAGTATGGGCTTACCTGAACAGGTGTGATTCAGGATGGTGGAAGAGGAATCTGATGATGCACAGTCCCTCAGAGAAGATCCAGACTGAACACAGTCAGAGTCGATCCACCACACAGGTCTGACTGAAGACTCCTTTCTCTTTACTACAGAAACAGCAGAACCACAGTCCAGATTTCTACAGACAACATTTGCTTCCTTCAAGGTCCAGCCTGAGCCCCTCACTGGTCTCCAGTCTCCTTTATGTTTCACCTCCAGTGTTCCTGCACAGCGACTGTCTCCTCCCACCAACCTGACCTCCTCAGACTCTGAACAGAAACAAGAGAGTCATCAGTAAAAGAATAAAGTGAGTTTCATCAGAACAGAAATGAACCAATCAGAGCTGCAGCTCCTCTTATACCTGAGCAGGTGAGTCCAACAGCTCCCAATACACTGACACTGAATACACTGGAATATTGGTATCCATTTTTAAACACTTTCAAACAATAAAACAACATCATCATCTGCAGATTCATCTATTCTGTTCCTTCTGCTCAGGTACTCCACAATCTTTGCTCTCCACACAAAGACGATTCTTTACTTCTCTTTTCTTTCTCTATTTACCTGCTGAGTTGGGTGTTCCTTCAGTCTGCAGTGCTGAGGAGAAAATCAGAAAATACTCATCAGTATGAAGCAGCATTTTGAAAAGAGGACAGTCGATCCAAGTTTCTTGGAGCTCAGAAACATCTCAGTGAACTCTCTCTGGAGCCGTTTTACCAGTTTACTATAGTTGAGATGAACATGTGAATGAACACGAGTCAGCAGACTGGTTTACACTGAGTTAAACTCAACACCTGCACACTGAATATATTTGATCACACCTGAATACATCACACACCTGCACACTCCTGATCACACCTGAACATTCTTGATTACACCTGATAACACCTTAAAACACTAGAATACACCAAAAAACACCTGCACACAACAAAACACACCTTATCACACATGAACACACCTGGTCACACCTACATACAACAGAGCACATTTAAACACCTGAATAATCACCAACAACAATCAACAACGAACCACCTGAAAACATAAAAACATCTGAACATATCTGTAAACAACTGAAACACTTGAGCACCTGATCACACCTGAAAACTTAAGAACACATTAAAACACCTGAATCATCACAAACCAGACATACCTAAACTAAACTCCTCAACAACTGAACACAATTGGACACACTTGTACACCTGGAGATATCATACAGTCCTTGAATATACCTGACCCTAACTCCAGCACACAAGGATTTCATTGTTCATTTGTTTTAATGATTTACTATCAGTATACCTGAGAAAAAAGAACATTTGTTGTATTGACTGGCATTTTTATGGTTGTGTTCTATTTTTAAATTGACTATATTTCATTGTTTTTGTATTCTGTCTTAATATCATCCTATCAATCATCTGTGAATCACTTTGAGCTGCACTAAACTGTATGAATGGTGCTATACTTATAAAGTTAGAGCTCCACATCCTCCAACTTACCAGCTGTTGATGGTCATTTTGGTCGTAGGTAATAACTTATTTATTAATCCAAGTTCCAAAATAAAAGTTTTGTGTATTTCATGAGACTAAACTAAATTAAAAGTGGTGCCCGAAGAACTTCATAATGAATTTAAGTTATACTTATTATTTGATAATTGATCATTTTGATAGGCAAACTTTAATGAATTGCACCAACACAGTAGTTGTCTTTCTTTGTATGGGTCCAATAAAGGTGATGTTGACATCCTGCAGTTAAACTCTCTGAAGTGCATTTCTGTGAAACACTGTCCCTCTGATAAATGTTCATTTAAATTACTAATTACCCCTATAATTACCCCTTAGGGGTTCCTTTAAAAAAAATCACACATTTGTTCCTATGGCAGAAAACTGCCATCTTCGCAAAAAACTGCTGTAAAAATCTTATAAATCAATATTTTTTTCCACCTTAAATTAGTCAATCTTTTAGAACTACTTCAGCTTGAAATATACATACCAAATAGGTATCATATTTTGGGTATTTTAACCCTTTAAAGGCCAATGTGTTTACACAACTCTGCTGTTGTGGAAAGTCTCAGTTTGTTTGAGACCAGTTATTTTTCCATTTTCTGAAGTCCATTTTGCTGCTGCTTCATCAATTTCATCTTCAGATGAGTCTTCAGATGAGTCAGGGCTAGACACCAGATCATCTGTCTCTACCTCTGAGCCCTCCTCCGTGGAGGAATCAGAGTCCTCGGAGGAGGAGCCATCTTTGCTCTCGGAGCCCATGATTATTTCAAGCGCCTCGTGTTTGCTGTAATGCCTTGCCATCTCTAAAATGACTACTCCCTCACTACTGCTCATACTTATAACCATGACTGCAGTGCACCTGCATCAACAGCCTGAACAACAGCCTCAACGAGAACCAAAACTAAGTCACATTTTGTTTTGGTTCTCACCACTCATAGTTTTTATTATTGAATTAGTTTATAATGCAGAGTTTGGCATTCTAAGAGAAAATAATAATAATAATAATGCCATGTGGTGGACTAATATAAAAATTAAAAATTGAAAGCTTATAGACTAAAATGAAATCTTAACATAAAGGAATGCATTTGTTTATGTTAAGATAAACATCGGATCAAAAATGGCATTTTGAATGGTTTTCAATCCGGCAGTTTTCTGCCGTAGGAATTTATGTGTGAGTTTGTGCCTAGCTTAGCCATTTTAGGCTAATTTAAGGAACTAAGACCAGAATTCTAAACAAAATGCAAAATGAATAACCTTTGGCAAGTTTGAGCTTCATTCATTGAAGACATCCAAAATAGCATGAAAATAAAAAACGGAATTGTAGAACCCCTAAGGGTTACTAAAAAAAAAATTATTGACTAAAAAGTTCATTAAAAACTGGGTTTGATTTGATGAAAATCTGAAGGATTCAAACTTTACTGTGTACAATTTTACAGTGTTTTCCTTTTTGTCTTTCTTTCATACATTAATCTGATGTATGTGTGTGTCCTACCTGAGCTCCACAGCAACAGCAACAGCACCAACAGGTGATCCATGTCCAGGTAGAGCGTCTCTCTGCCCGTCTGTCTGCTGTCTGCTCTGATGTCTCACATGTGCTGTCCTCAGTGTCTGTCTGCGTACAGGAAGAGGTG